ACCGCCCGTGCCCGCTGCAGGTCGTCCCGGCCTCGCAGGCTGCCGAGCAGTTCTCTCCGTACACGTCCTGCGAGCAGGCCCGGCACCCTGGCCCCGCGAAGCCCTCCCCGCAGCTCCCGCTCCCCGCCGCCCCCGCCGACACGTTACATCGCTCTCCCGCCCAGCCCGCCAGACACTCGCACCTCCCGTCTACTCCCCTGCACCGCCCGTGCCCGCTACAGTTAATGAATGCATCACAATATGCTGTACAGTTTGCATTGTATTTCGTTTGTCTGCACACCTGTTTTGAGATGTTTTTTGTTTTCCACCAGTATGTTGTAGGCAGGGATATCTGTGAGGTGCTTTCTAGGTAGTTGTTGTTTATGTTCATAGTTGTTTCAATGCCTTCCACCCTGTTGATGACATTGATGAAACCGAGGCATACTAAGAATGATTTCACTCTCATTTTTTAGCAATGTTTGGTGTTGTAATTGTAAAGGATTGTTTTGCGGATTTTCATGCAGGTAACTTTTGTTCCGACCTGCTCTGCGCAGTTTTTGATCTTGCTCAGAACTGATTCTTCCCTCCTTCACTTCCCGCCTTCATGCCAACCCGCAATGACACACCACCCCCCCTACTTGAGACTACCCCTATTTTCCACTGTTGGATTAGGGGACTACCACCCCTGTTCCCTCTGTCCAGCTAGCCTTATAGAATCTGAATGGATCAAGTCTTAGAGTCTTAGTTCCTAGTACCATGAATTCTTATAACGTATATAGCTACTACCAAAATGTCTATGAGTGATTTTAAAAATGATTCCTGAACTGCCACTGTTCCCTGTAACTACCAGTGTACCGCGTCAAGTGTACGAAGAGTTATATTTTCAGACATCAGTAACCTTTCACTAAAATTTTATTATGTGAGGAGAGTACCAACAAAGTAGTTATCACAGAGTCGTGGTAATAAATGAAGCAATCCTGTGTGTACGGACCTAAAATTCCCAACCAGCTGTAAAAGTTATCATTATCAGTCACGTGTACGAACTTGAACCGGACTGGCAGGGGTCTGAGGCAAGCGCGGCGCACCAGGCCATCCCTACCAAGTATGTGACGAGGTTTTCGTCCAGGTTTTCGTCACTCTACAAGGATTGAGAAGTCACTGCCAGGCTCCTCATTAATTCAGTGTTGGCCTGAATTCTCATGTTGAAGGATCATACTTTGAAGATTTAAGCTGAACATGAGCATACTGTAAAATGTATTGATTAGTACACCAAAATTATGAGTAGAACATCTACTTATATGTACAGATTTCAGATTATTAATTGAATGTTTTTGGATTGAAGGAAGGTTGAAAACTCTATCGGTTCCTCCTGTCAAGTCTTGAAATGACTGCATCAAGTTCTTTTGCCCTTTGGTCTGATTCTTTGATTCCTGGATCCAGCCTCTGGGTCATGTCTTTCAAGACTTCAACTTTGTGATGTACATCATTCACCTCCTTATGATGTTGTAAAGCTGACAGTTCACGATCGAGCATTTCAACAGCTTCATCAAGAATTCGTGCAAATTTCTCCTTTTCTTTCATGGATTTTTCAAAATCCAGGGTAGATTCCCGCTTGCTCATGCCCACGGGTGGTGCTTGAAATCTGGTGTTTTCTTCATAGCCGAGATTAAGGGACTTCTCTGCAACAGGATTCTTGTTTCGTGAAAAATCTTGCAAGTTTTGTTTGTTTGTCGAAGGCGGGATCTTCAAGCTCTGATCCTCACGCATTTGTACATTTGAGTTGCTTGAAGAAGGTGGAATCTTCAAACTCTGCTCCTCAAACATTTCCATCTGTGAAACTTCTCTGCGTTCATTTGATTCCATAAACTTGCTTTCTTTGAGTTCCTTCTTCTTGTTTCGAGGACCAGGTCTCACATCTCGATCCGAGCTGGATTCTAATGATCGTTGGCCATCTCCTTCAAATGAATGTTGCCATCTCCTTTGTCTCTTCGGTCCTGCATTGAAGAGGAGAGCAGCTACTCCGCCAGCAACTACTCCTACCTTGGCAGCGACTCCAATACCCGCACCCATCAGAAAATATCTCTAAAAATAAAATAAAATCAGAGATTGAATTCAAACAATTGTTTGTGCTCCACAGAACATGCTGACAGATTACTGTGCTCTAGATGTAAAATAAAGCATAGATGTTACCTATGTATCTACGCAGAATAACATATTATTGTCTGGCCGTGGAGATAAACAATCATACAGGGGAAAACAAAAACTGGTAAGCTATACCTCATGGTCCTGACCGCTATCCAGGTATGCTCCATCCTTTCTAAAGCATTAAACCTGCTCTACAAACTCCAAGGTTCCTTCTTTTCTCACATCAACTAGCCGTCACGTTTTGATCTCAAGACGTTAAACACACAGGCTGCCTGATAACATCCGATCCCCTTTCTTACAGTCTCCCACTCGAGTCATAATCAGATCTATCCCCATCCTTGAGCTCTTCCTGCTCTAACATTTATTTGTAACGATCAGGCGTCACTGCCGGCCAGCCCTTGACCGTACCAGGAACGAAACGAAATCAAAGAAAATGATGGATTCCCCACCCACCCCGTCTACTCTAAACATGTCTGTCTGAACTCTGATCACCCTTTCATTTACCATAGCCTCGATGGAACGACATGGGTGGGGTTGATATTTACCACGGCTGGTTAGAGTATATCTCAACCACCCTCTGGGGCCTAAAGAGCCAACGGACCCCACTGCACCCCCCACCCATCATTCCCCCCTGCATCATTGGCTACCTACCCCTCATACTCCTGCACCCCTGCACCCCTCAATTACAATGACGCCTCAAACCTCGCCAATCGGTTTCCGGATATCATCATGTGATTGCACTATCAACTTCCATAAGTTGATAAATTGAATTCAAATGATCGACTGTGCTCTTTTCTCGGGAGAAAATTCGAAATATGATAAGTATATTTCAATCTAAGAAAGAATAATGATGAAATTATAAAGTTTACATCACAAAGTAAAAGTTTACTTCAGAAGTTCAAAAGAATCCTTATGTGACATGCGTGATGTTCAAAGTTCAGTTAAATCAGCACCAGTACCTCATTATTAATCAAGTTTCAGTTAAGTTTGGGGGACAGCAGTCGGCAGGATTTGGTTTGGTTCTCGCTGTCTTTCTCTTCTCGCCGTTTGGCCTGTGCGACCGTACAGTGTCAGGGTCAAGCCTCCTCGACTCTCATTATTGTCCTCGTACTGATTTTTAATTTAACTTTGAGTAAAGTAATCAAGTGAATTTACTATCATGAGATGAGTAAATTCTGTATTGATAGTGGAATACCGGGACGGCAGGAGTCGGGGGACTCAGTCACTTTGATCAGTCACGAGTCGGGCGGCCGGGCCGGCCGGCTAAAAACCGGAGGCTCGGAACCGGGCCCAGTGCCGCGCACTGTGCTGAACTTACTAGCCTCGGATCATCCCGGCGGCTAACTTTGAGTAAAGAAATCCGGCAGTGCCATCGTGAGGTGAGGCGGACTGGGTAAGGGAGCATGTAGATGTAGGACGGTTAGTAATGACGGTGTAGGACTGTTGGAGAACGAGGATATGCTGAGATCCCACTGAGGTGGCAAATGAGTCGTCAAGAGCAGAGGAGGTGGAGAAGGAATCGAGCGACTGCAGACGAGGAGGGGCAGGGGCGGACTTCAAAGCTTAGAATCGTTGCTTCTTGCGTGGTTGCTGATGTTCTGTTTGGTTTCAGGGACTAAAGACACAAGACACGGTGTTGCGATGGAGAGTCTCAGCAGTCCTTCTCGCAGGAAGGGAACTATTTCTTTTGGTTCGAAGAGGTCAAAGATAGTGGGGAAGACAACGTACATGATCGAATACGAGGCGCCTCCTCTTGACGTGTATGCTGGAAGATCCTCTAAAATGACGAACATCCCATCAAAGAAATCTCATGACTCGAACGATCTCGGGCTGGGCGAAAATGCCAGAACAATGTATGGCGAAAGTTTCCTGGACTTCGGGGAGGCATACAAACAGAAGACTAAACCCATCGAAAGCGCCAAGACTGTACACATTGCCGCGAAGGGCCAGTCAAACACCACCTACAGCACCTCGTATGTTGACTCTTTCCCCGTACGACCTTTGGAAGCGAACATTCAGACGACGAAGACTCAAGATACAATTGAGGCCGACGGGAAGCTCGGACACGTTCGCACAGTGTATAAAGAGGACTTTGGTAACCCTAAGCATCACGAGGCATTTGATGGGTTATCTGCTTCAAAGCGCCTTCCAATATTTGTTCAAAAAGACAGAAAGAAAGTTCAAGTGCAGCCTTATGGTCCTCTGTGCGTCTCCTCTATGCAAGAAAGCTTCCAACCTCCGCCTAAGTCTGCCTTCCTGCGACAGAACTCCAACCTTCGGCCGTCGCTGTCGAAGACGAAGCAGGAGCCCACATCGCGAAGTAGAGGCACTAGGGCAAGTATGGAAATGTCAAAAGTGGATTGGAACCCAGAAGAAGGAGCTCGCAGGCCAAAACCAGGAGCTATTGGAGACCGGGTGAGAACTCGCGCTGTTTCTCGCTTGACACTCGCCGATGAGATGTGGGGCACCAGGTCCGGCAAAGCTCTCTCCGCTTTGGAAGCAAGCTCTATTCGCAAACTACATACGTCGACGCATTCCGCGCTCCTTCCAAAGACCTTTACACAGGCAGAGGCACCTTAAAGTGATAAGACGCTGAAGCTTGACAGGGGAAAGCTCGAATCTTGGGTTGAAGATGCGCGTAGAAGGAAAGCCGACGATCAACAAGGACAACCTTGGTTCCCTCTTCATGTAGTGATGACTACCCAACACTGATAACATGACAGGACTAGGTCAAGATGGACAAACATTTTATATGTCGACGTATAAGAACTTCGGCCCAAATGTCGTCAAGACACAGCCGATAGAAGCAGCACGAGCGGTTTGCTTGCCATCTATGCCATGCACATATTTGTGACAGCTGAGAGCTCAGGTGAACATACAAATGGACAAGGAATGGAAGGTGGACATGCGAACTTCTTATTCGGCCTGGGGAAGGAACCTCGACAAGGCTGGAGCATTCCAGAACAGCAGGCAAGTCGATCCTCTTTCGCGCGAAAGGCAGAACTCGTGAATACAATTTTTAGTGCTCCAGTGGAGGAGCAAGCGAGACCTCGGACATCCTATGGCCTTGGAGATGCGGGGGCCTCATTGTACACCTTGTCCTTCACAACCCCAAGGGAGAGAGGGGACTTGGACGTCAACAGAGCTGCTTCCCAGTCACCAAAACAGAGCAACGTACTCTCGTCTTCTTCTCACCGTCTCTACTCAAGATTTGCAGGTTGCGATTGATCTTCGGTATGGTCCTCTCTGCAAGTCTTCAATGCACAGCACGTTCTTGGTTCGTGCTTGCACTCCTCGTCAGGGCGATGACTTGCATGCTGTTACAGGCACCGCCGAGGAGCGCGTACCTGCGACCAAGCACCTCTGCTAATGTCAAGCTATCGTCCACAAGGGTCATCCCTGTCGGAACCTTGCAGCCTGATCGCGATTACGGGCTGGGTGAAAACGGAGAGGTCTGAAACGAGTTCTGCTGTTGTGCTAGCACGCTGACTTTCACCAAGAGCGTTTACCGACGAGACTTTACCTCAGAAGTCTTCGTGCAAACCTGAAGATGCGACAAGAGGTATTGAGTCTGCTTGAGTTGCCACTGCACACGCCTCTCATTCATTAGAGCCTTTGGCATGACAACAAGTAGGCATTGCCTTGTTGCAACCACCAGTGCTTGTACAGACCAAGGGTGTCAGATGTCAATTTTTATGCAGCAAAAGGCTAAATTATCTATGCAGCTCAAACATATTCATAAGCATGGCAGCCAGAGGAGTTTGCTAACGTCAGAGCGGGATGGCAGCCAGTGGAGTTTGCTAACGTCAGAGCAGAATCTGTCGTATTAGATGCTGTACTCCATAGAAGGATTCGAGTCGTACAATTCAGCATTCTGCATCTCTCTGAGAAGAGTAGTCGAGGCCTGTCGCATGATTCGCTTTGCCTGCATCGGAAAATCAGCCTGACATCAGAAAATGGCCGAAACGACCTGAACGATGCCCTCGGATCCTCGCTTCATTGCAGCCTCGTGCATGAGGATCGCGGCATTTGACATCTCAGTTCCTTGGGTGATCGTCACCAGCATCCTCTCAGTCATCTTAAAAGCATCGTCCATCTTTTCGAATAGTCCTCCTCTCTCAGTCATGGCGTTAAAGACCGCATGGTCATGTGCGTTCCAGGCATCTTCGAGGGCGATTGTCCAAACCTGCAATGGCCTTGCCGTCGACTCCAGTTGCATGTCTTTCGAGCTTGAGCCAAGGATCCAGGCAAACATAGCCTTGTCATGAGCAATCCACCCGTCATTTATAATGGAATGCTTTGATTCTGCAATCGGCAACAAAATCTTTGCCATAGAATCATCGTGTCGCTGCCACCCATCGTTGACAACTTGTGCTGTCTTCACCGCATCGTTCAGTGCTCTCACTGGCCACGGCATTGCAGTCATTCTAAGCGGAACAGAAAAAGCGGATATCTGTACAGCACATAGAGCCAGCGTGATTGCACGCATCATATTTGCTTTGATTCAATAACGAGGAGATTGCTTGAGAGCAATAAGGTACCTGAGATGTGAAAAGAGCAGCAAAGAAGGCCAGGAATGAGTAAGAGAAACAAAGCCGAGGAGAAGGAAATCAGAGCGAGACCGAGAAGAGAAGTTGAGGACCAGGGGAGGGGGGAAAGTCAGAAGAAGCGAAGACGTGGGTTGGAAGTGCGAAGGGAAGAAACGAGGTTTTAAAGGAGATTGGGAGGACGCAACAGGGTAAGAGGGTAGGGGTGATGTCAGCGGCAATAGTGGAGGCAGGGTGTAGGTACGAAAGAGATGTGCAAGATATGGGGCAGGGGGTGGGGGTGAAAAGTACCCTACCCTCCGGACAACGAGGGGTGTAAAGGGAGCTAGTAGGGGGTGATACTAGGTGATTGGTTGGCAGAGACTGTAGGGGTGGTGGGGTTGCAACTAAAAGAGCAAAAAGACTCCATTTCACATAGGAGGCCGACCCCCTGCCTGTTGCTGCCCTGCCTACTGCAGGGCCTCAGCGGCAGTGGCCCGGCCCGGCCCCGGCGGGCCGCCGGCCCGGCCCGACTGCGGCGAGACGCGCCGCCCCGGCCCGGCCCGGCGGACTTCGGCTGGAGTCAAGTCACCGTCAGCACGGCCCTGAGTCCGATCAATCCGGCGGACCGGCGCTCGGAGAGCACCGCCGCTCCGCCGCGGGCCATGCTGGGCGCGGCCGTCACCGCCGGGCCCCGGGCCCGGGCCGCCGCGCCCCGGGCCGTGACTGCCGCAATGCACTGCAGTGACAGCGGCAGCGGCGATGACGTCGCAGCCACGGTGTGACGGAGCATCACAGACTGTATGCGGCGGCTGGGATGACGGTGAAACCCAAGCATCCCGCCGCCGGAGTCCAGACATGCCTGAGACTCGACCTTAGCAAGACGGCCGGGCCGGGCGGCTAGGAAAGCCCCCACTCAGTGACTGAGGCTGCAGTGCCGCGCTCCGAGCCTCGGTCCGAGTCACTAGTCACCGTGGGCCACCGTCGGCGAGCCTCAGGCCGGCGGGGCCGGGCCCGGGCCCGGCCGCATTGCCACTTGCCCTCCCGGACTCGGAGTCCGGTGGTCTAGTCACGGCCGGTTAAATATTTATTTATAAACTATGAAAACTGATTGCACGCATCTCCCGGTAGTTTTACGGCAGGACACATTGTTTATATTAGTGGTTTTCCTCATTTCATGGTACCACATAGAATAATATTTCTTGGTACTGGTACAATCTTTGTTTATCAGTACGTCTTTGATCTGTACTGAATTTTAGACTTGCAACTGGCAGGCATCTCTTTTCGTGGTATAATCATGTCTTTAAATATTTTCTAATATTACATGTATGTTACCATGTACAATATGTAATACATGAAGTCAAATATATTTATAGTTTTCTACCAGTAGTATTTTATCTATTTTACGGGGCCACGGACCTACTCGTATCCCTCATTTCCAGTGTACAGTGGCGACGTAATGCGCCTTTCTGTCGTGCAGCCTGGCGCCTCCATCCTATCTGTATCTTCGTCCTCCTCCCGCTTCCTCCTTGTGCTGTGCATTTGAATATACAAACGTTTTGTTCAATCACACAAGTCTGTGATGAATATACGAAGATGTCTTGTTCATTCACACAAGTCTGTGACTGCCTTGTACACGCCCATATCTCTTGTGCATGTACTGTTGACAAGATGAGGCACTGATTATGTCTCAAGGTTTTCCTTTCAACGAAGTAAGTCAAAGGTCTCACCAGACTCGACGATGAATCAGATCACAACTGATCCACACATTGGGGGGTTGAACACAGATAGAAGCAGAAAGTCTTCCGATCATCATGCTCTCTTTGATGGGGATGGGAATAAACATGGATCAAAGAGCTTGAACGGGTACAAGCGCGGGATTCGAGGAGAACTACTGAAGCGGGTAAAAATGTTCTGTCGTAATCGTCGTTGCCCTTTTTTCAGCTTGCAATCAAAAGAATCAAATCGCTTCCTCTTGCTCTTGCTGTATCTGACTCATATCTATGGATCAGGCTTGGTCGAATCCTTCGAGTGCCAAGAGCAAACTGCCGGATGAACTTCTAGAAGAAGATTACGTCCTCTTCGGTTGGATGGACTGCTGCCAACATGTTTCAGGCAAGAATGGGTGGACCAAGGTTGTTTTCTCGATTTTGATCAGAAAGAAACTCTAAACGTGGGTGTGTAGAAATTTTTTGCTATCAATGATACGGGAGATATGTGGATGGGAACGGTAAGCATCAAGATGACTAAAAATTTAATTCCTCACGCTGAGGTGCGTTAGAGCGAGAACATGGCGGAATTGCAAAAAGTGGACCTCCAAACATCCATGATTCAGGAAGTGTTGGAGTCGGAGCATCCTTTGGTTTTCCAGGTTTCTGATAAGGTTACTGTCCCATACGAAGACAGGCTGAATTGTTGCTGACTCCTGCCACCAGCTTTTTCTGCGAGCCGATCAATTGAAGACCAAACAAGATTGGATAGGCATCGCGAGCTTTAGAGTGTACGCCTTTCTGTCTGATGCTTTCAACAGGCGCCATCCGAGTAGCCATCCACAAGAAGAATGATGTGAAATCATCTACATAGGCAGCATTGATGCCTCTATTTCGTTCTCGCTTCCCTGATGAGTGTTGCCGGGAGGCACGTGTGTGACTTGCTTATCTTTGGGTTTTCGACGATGTAAATATGTTGGCTTCTTTCCAAGCCAACAAGTTGTTGATAAACAGCATGCCTTTCTTAAGCTTTACTGCTCTCTATCTGTCAGCTTGATTTCGCTTCCCCTTTTCCGTCGGTTTTAGCCTTTGAGGCATCTCAGCTTCTCAAGGCTCAAGGGCTTCCACTTACCTCTGGCGCAAACATGCTATCCACCTCAGCCTTCTGCCTGGCGTAATCGGACCTTCCTGAGACCTTTACGCAGCTCGTGAATGGTTCTCAACTGACGACTTGACACACTTTTACCTTTACCCAGTCACTGGGCTTGAGCACGTTGTCAAATTCACTGGGATACTTCTTGTGCCATGGCGGATGCCTGCGATCGTCACAGTCAGAGCAGGACGACTGCCTCGCAAGGCTTCCAACTTGTGAATCAACTTGTATTTCCTAGGACTCAACTTCTGTTGCCCAGCAGTGAGACAATTGGGGCCCGGGCCTGTGTCGACATCAGCACCAACATTAGGGAGAGGGAAGTCAACAGTCGATGTCGGAGGGCATTATCTCGTCGATTTCCTTCTGCCTGTTTGAGTGCTTACAATAGCAGGGCACGAAGACATCGTCGCTAACCGTCTGCTGTAATCTTTAGCTGCAGCTTTCCGAGCATACGCGTTTTGCATGTCTAGCAAAGTTTGTCACTTTCAGAAACCGTGCGGGGCATGAGATAACCGATCGCCTTTTTCTCTGCTCGCAAAAGATTCCTGTGCTTCTTGTCCAACCCCTGTCAACGTTTCAAATCGTAATAGCCTGCTGCTCGAGCAACTTCAACCTCCGTGTCGAGGTGTAGAGAGTCTTTGTCTTCCTTTGACAACTTGCGACTTGTGGCGAGAGCATGAGAGAGTAATGGATACAAGCAGATCCTCCAAACTCACTTGATGCTGTCTTCTTCTGCCTTCTCCTTCTTCTCGACCTGTACTCATCGAGTTCAGGAAATCGGTTGGAACGGAACTCAGCACCAACTTCATCCACGTAATCTTCGTGCCCCCACGGGTCAACTTTCTTGGTCTTATGTGGCGCTGCCGCACGGGGTTGAGCAGCCCGTCGGCCTCTATTGGCTGCTTGCAGTTCTCTTGGTTGCTGTCAGTGAGCGCCCAAGCAGCTCAACAGAAGAGAGCCTGACCGCTCAAGGTGCTGGATCTTCTTCTCCAATCCCTGCGCCTCCAAATCAGCTCTGATTTACTTGAACAAGGGTTTGCCCCACCGATGTGTCCATCCTATCGGCTCCTGCTGTCCTCTTCCAATCATGATTCTGCTCAGCAAGATCAGGCTGCTCTGTCTGTCGCCTCTACCTTACTTGAATGTGACGATTTGTTCGGACCGCTGATGTGTCCCCAAAGCCCCAATGGCTGAACCAGGCACCCTCAGAAATTGTGGACGTGGCCAAGAAGATCAAGCAAAGGATGAAGGCGGCTGCGAAGGCGATCAAGCTGATCTGTATTGTTCGTCACTGACAGCTCGCCACCGTTATGGAAGAGGAATACCGTGAGACAGGTTGTGGACGAGCGACCAGATCTGGTTTTGGTGCGTCTAGAGCCATGCTTGGAGGGTTTCAGAGGCGTGTTGATGTCTTCGTCTTCGTCATCTCGCTGGTTTGACCCCAGCAGGTCGCCAATAGCACCAGCGAGGTTATTCATGGTCACGGACAGCTACCCAGCGATGTCAAGGTGCCAAGATTGCGTCGGTAGCCCAGCAAGTGAAGGCAGAGGAGCAGAGGGGCGGGTGGACGTGAGATAATGAAAGTACAAGTAAGGAGAACGACGGGAAAGAGGAAGCAGAGGAGGATGGCAATGAGGAGGTGAACGAGGACGCGGGACAAGCGTCAGTGACGCGGCATGACGAAATGGTCGGAGGGGGTTTGGGGGATCCTGTAGGAACACAGGGTGGGTACCTAATAGAGCATACGAGTTGGTTTTCGGGGGTACTTCCTTTGCTTTGATGGGGTGGTCTTGTGAGCAAAGGGGAGGGGTGGGTATAATACAATGCTGGTCAAGGTGTTCACCGACAAACATTTGGAAGCGAAAATGGCGAGGGGGTGGAGCATGAAGAAGATGATAGAAGGCAAGGTAATGGAGAGGAGGGAGGAGGGAGGAGAGGAAATTAGACATGCAAGGAAGTGGATATTGAGAAGGAGGAGCTGAAGGGAGCTGGTAATGGTGCCAGAGAGGAGGGACGGAAGCGAGGTGGTTGGGATCGTTGTAACTCATTCATTCATCAAGATCGCAACTCTCGATGGGAGGATGCTTCACCTCCATCTCAAGCCCGATGCCACGATTAAGGCGCTCAAATTTGCCATCGAGGACCAGGAAGGATGGTCACGAGACTGCATGAGCATCCGCACGGTGGGAGGGACGATCCTGGAAGACGATCAGAAGCTCCAGGCGCTCGGGTTTTGCGATGAGGGGTCGCACGATGCTCTCCTTCTCTTCCGCACAGATTTGACGGAGGAGCTCAGCGGGATCCGAGAGTCACAGCAGAGGTGCAGCTGGGGATGTTTCAACCGACTGTCCTTACGCTCTCCTGCCAGCATGATGATGCGGGAGCGAAGAGAAGGATCCAAGACCATCACAATCGACTCACAAGCGCCTTCAAGTGCTCCCCACCATCCCCCCATCCCCCAGCCCCCCCGCCCCTTCTCCCCTCCTGCTGTCCTCCATTACTGACGTTTCAACATCAGATCCCGACCGAGAGCAGTTGCCCCCGAAGGAAGGGGAGGGAGCTCGGAACATCAGCCCCGTAGCACAGGAGGAGGAGAGAACTAGAGCGTTCATCGGGCGAGGAAGCCGACTGGGATCGACGTTCGGTCCTCCAGTCGCAGGTGAGATTGGGCCATAAGTGGCGAGTGGTATGACGCAAAGGATGTCAAGATACGGATGAAGAGAGGAGGAGGAGAATGCTTGCGGCAGCGGAGAGGAGGCGACAGGGAGGGAAATGAGCTCCTTCACCATTACCTACCAAGTTGTACATTATGTAAACTCTTAACGGTACAAGATGCAAGAAGTGAAGCTTCCATTGTTATGCAAAGAAGTGGAACATCTCGAAGGCTACTTCGATGGAAATGAGGAAGATGATGATTTTCTCCAGCCTTGTGCTGTGCCTCTCACTCAGTTCCGTCCGCAAGACCTCGACGACCTGCCGGCTTGTGTTAACAACTCTCACAACCGCTCTTCTCGCACCTGATGCGCATAGTCGAGCTTGCGATTCAACGTTCGAATCCTACCCGTAAGGTCGAGTTCGCGTGAGATCTTGGAATAGAGGTCCTCCAACCATGGCTCCTCCCAGTATGCCTGTTGGCCCGTCAGCCGTGAGGGTCGCACGTCCAAGGTTCAACCTCCGGGGTTTCGCTGAGGGGAAGGTGGAGATTGATCAACCCTCTGAGTGAGAGAAGCTGTCCCATGATCTTCATCACCGCCGTCTTGTCCAGCTGCAGAAGCTGAGAAGAGACGCAGAGAGCCAGAGCAAAAAAACCTTAAGGGCCCTCTTCTCCATCAGGATGTCCGGGATATGCTTCAGGGACTTGATCAAATCTTCAGAAATCCTCTCGATCACCTTGCAGGAGGCGATCTCAACGGCGGCCTCCCTCTCTCCTCCTCTTACCGAGACTTTTACTGACCGTTGCAGCCCATGGCTGAAGGCGATTTTCTCCAGGATCTTTGTCATGATCAGATCACGTCACAATCGCGTCCAGCCTCCACCTGTGCCTTAGCCCAGTTGTTCTGTCCGACAGAGAGGATAAGCTCGCCACTGGGAAGCAAACCAGCCTGAGGGAGCGGGTGAGGGAGCTCAGAGCAGATGCTGCAAGGACAACCTGTTTGCCGTAGGTGAAGTCGATGACTTCCGAGTAGCAATCGAGAATGTCCTCACGATGGTATGCTCCGATCTGGTACGGCTCGATCAGATCCAAGATCTTGGTCGCCTGCATGGAGGTCATTGGTGCAGCCCTGATGTCCGCGAATTTGAGACCTGATCGTAGGGAATGGCCCAGAAGACGAGGGAGCCATCCTTGAAGAAGAACACGTCGCCCTCACTCGCTTCTTTTGATTCTTGCAAGTTCACGTGAATCACTTCCGAGAAGTAGATCGAGGGAACCTGCAGCAGCAGCTCGTGAGAAGGACGAGGAGAGGCTGAAATCTGGAGGAGGAGGAGGAGGAGGAGGGTGTAGTGGTGGTAAGGAAAGGCTTCAGCAGCAGCAGCTTTGCTACGCGAAGAGCTCACCATCGACTTCTGCAGAACCTTCAAGAGTCCGTCCCAATCGAACTGCTCAGCTGTGCAGTAGGCGACGCAGCGCTGAGAGGCACTTCCCTTGCTGTTCGCCAGCATGCCGGGAGGAGGGATGGGAGCTGAGAGAGAGCTTCGAATGGTTTGCCGAGGACCGCGAGGTCGTGCTATCAACGTCTCCGGCCCTGGTCGTTCAATGACTTCCTCCCAGGAAGCAGCGTCAGAGGAACCGGGCTGAGGAGAGGAGATCTCTGCGTCCCGGTACTGCTGAAAAACTTGTTGGTTCCCTTGCTGCTCTTGCGCTTCCCCCAGGTCCATCCTCGAGTGCCGAATCTCAGTGTGGGAGATCCTCATCTCCGTTAGGCCTGGACGCTTCGCCCTCCCCCCTCCCGTCTCTTCTGCTTTCCCGTCTGTAAATCTCCTGACCTGCTCGCTTCTCTGCCTCTTGGGCCATCCCCTTCCATGCTCGCCCTCATGGAAAAAACCGCTATACGCCCTCTGTCCCCGAAACGAAGAAGCACAGGGAGAGGAGAGCGAATGGAACGTAGAGGGAGTAGGAGATCTGCTAGCATGCAGCAAGGAAGAGGTGGGATGCCTGCTAGCATGGAAGTAGGAGGAAGGCGATGAAATGTATGCCTGAACAACTCGACCCCCGCTACAACGTATCACCGAAGCCATGGCTAGAAGGCTGGGACACCCCTACCCCCCGCAAAGACAATTAAAAACAGAGACCCCATCGGGTAGGGTGGGGGCAATAGAAGTAGAACAGTGTTGCACAGCGTTTCGCAGGGAGGAGGGAGGGCAGGACGGGGAGGAAGAGAGAAGCGAGGAGGAGGAGGAGGAGGAGGAGATGGAGGGGGAAGGAAGAGATGGAGAAGGAAGATTTGGGAGGAGAGAGGGGTGAAGCTGATTTTCTTTGGTCTTCACTACATTCCAACAAGAGTTTTACAGAGCCCAACGGAGTATCATCACACTGGTCAGACGAGGAGGTGCGAATCGAAGGGATCTGGAGAAGGCACATCGGATACTGAGCTGGCATCGGCGTCATGCTGGCTCGAAGCAGAGTCATCCTCCTGGACCAGCCCGTTGCTGTTCAAGCCTCACTTTCATCACATTATCAAATAGCTCCATACCTCCCCATGCATAACTGCCCACACGCGGCATTGAGGGACCTAGGCAGGCATTAGCTCCTGCTCTTTCCCTTTGATCCTCCTCAATACCTTAACACTGCCATCGCCTCATTGTGAACCTGCGTCTTCGAGTCTGATTCCACGTCAGGAGCTGCGCTAACTCGCCATCCTCCACTCTCACCGCAGTCTGTCGCCAACAATCGTAGCGGCTCATGCAGCTCAGTGGGCCAGCTGTCGCAAGCCTTGACCAAGGGAGCGAAACGATACCGAAGTTCCTGATCGTACAAGTGAACAGAAGAACAAGATGAAAGAGAGGAGAGGAGTATGAGGACCTTGGCGAGAGTTTCGAGTTTCTTTCTTCCCACCGGAGATTTGCGCATGTAAAGGATCTTGCCTTGAAACTGCACAGTGTCAGACAGGAGGAAGCAACAAGATGAAGGCAACACGCTCCCCCTCACCTGCATCTCACGCTTGTGTCCTTCTTGCAGCTCCTTGTAGGATCGTCGATCGCCCACTGCCGCTGAAACCAGCGCTTCAGCCGAGCAAGCATGAGAGCAGGAGCTTCAGACCTGCGAAGGGTCGCCCGAGCTCGGGGTTGTCAGCGATGTCTTGGTTGTAGTCCTCCTGTGAATCGAACGATCAGCGTCTGAGACAGGCGACTGAGACAAACTTGTACCTCCGTGACGGTGTCGTACAAGAAGTGAATGCATACCACACGCCCCAACTGCAGTGCAAGGATGAGATGGGAAGGCGATTTTAGGAGCAGCCCACATAGTCGCAGTCCCGCTCCACAGTCGCACGGACTACGACAGGCTTGGAGCCGTGCTGAAGAAAGAAGGTGAAGAAATCAGTGATTTCCTGCTTCTGCACATGGTTGGGTGGAAGAAATGAGATTGGAGAGGCAGGGGCAGCCAGGAAGGGGGAGGGGACACAAACCACGTTGTTCATCCGGAAGTAACACTTGTAGACTGGTCGTAGACAGTTGCAAAACTGGGGGGATGTGGTCAAGATATCTGCACATGAACGATGCTCAAGTGACCTGGTCGAGCATCAAACATAAAAATTCAAACTCGTTGAACAAGTGCCCCATTTCACTGCATCCTGAAATACGATCATTGTTTCGCTTCAATCTTTCAAAGCTTACCAATGCGACTGGCGATCTCCTCGGGATGGATGCCAAAGACATAACCCACCTCTGGACCCACGATGAAGCTCTGACAACATATCTCAGCTGAGAGGCATGGATGAGGGATGGATGGAGGGAGGGAGGCAAAGATGAGTGTATTCAATACCTGACGGAATGACGTCTTTGGATCGTAGCGGTAGCTCACGTAACGCCCGTGTCCGAATCTCTCCTGGAGCGCTTCTGCTCTTCCCCGTTACGGTAAACAACTGACGAGGGAGGGAGGGAGAGAGGGAGAGAGGGAGGGAGGGAGGAGCAAGGAATAGGGGATAGCGGGACGGGGGGTTGAAGAAGGGTCAGCGACCTGGACTGTAACATTCATTCTCGATGTCTCGCATCGAAACCACTTTCGCGTTCGGAAGTGCTTTAGGCGGGTTCACAGAGCCTTGAGGATTCAAACTCGTATCGTGTTCAAGCGCAGCTTTGAGTCTGAGCATCGGAGCAACTCTGATTGCACATCAGCATCGCAGAAAGGAGTATCAAGGTTCATTCAGTTGCCTGTGGAGCGTATGAATCCCTTTGTCAATCGCGTCCCATATGCTATCAGGAAGGTTGATGAAAGCTGCATGCATCAGATCAGCTGAGCTGTAGCCGGCGTCATTTTTGTCACCGCTAATGATTTCCGTATAACTAAAGCCGAACTCCCATGACCGTCGCAAGACAACCTGAAGGATTCAACGTTAGAGAGTGAACCCTCTTCCTCTTCCTCTTTTACAGAATTTCTTCCTCGAGCTTTCGCGGCATTCTCGACTGCTTCAAGGCCTACATCTGCAAATGGCAAAAGTCTTACATACACAACCAGGATCGATCTCAACAACCTTTTAAGAAGTCCAAAACTGTAGAAGTGGCTAGCGGTCGCTGATCATCATGCTCGTTACAAAGAGGAAGACATAAAGTTGAACAGACATGAATTTTGTAGTCAGATGAAGTTTCTTCTTCATCGCACCCGACATCGCAATTGTTCGCTGCTCCCTTAAGAACACATTCGACGCATGGACGAACTCCGCTGCATCTCACTTTCTTCAACCTATGAGCACTGGGTAAGCTTGCCAACCCTCACGTTCAAGAAAGTAACACATAAAAATATCATCAACCTCGCCCAATAGCGGGCATCAGATACTGACCTGCATCTTGAGCATGCACGGTCGACACAAGGGCCTTTCCTCACTTTCTTTGAACTATTTCGTGCAAACTTCAGCTCAAGGGAATTGGAGTACACACGATCTTAGTACCTTCTCCGCACCTTGACCTCCTGCTGAGTCTCCTCAGCCACTGACGATGAGGGCGACGCTCCCTGGCTCGGTACCAGCTGGGTCTCATGAGATGCTAAGCTTGAGATTAGCCATGACGCCGTAGAAGAAGGGAGGATACCTGGTTGGTGCAATGGAGCAAAGGCACTCAGGTGTGCAACGAGGATGCTTGAACATGCTTGCAAGAATGTCAACACCACTTGATGGTTTAAAACACAACCTACCAGAGTGAGCCGACAAAACATTCTGCATCCGCAGCTGCATTTCGATTAGAAAGAAACCAGCGAAGAAAAAAACTGTCACGTGATACAAAACTACTACCAACATCACCAGGAAAACAAAGCAACAAAGAAAGCACACCATGCAATACCAGCATACGACACAACCAGCATAATGCAAGCCAGCATCTGCTTGCAGCGCCAGCTCGAGCTTCAGCAGCAACACACGAATCCAGCACGCACAACCTCCACAACATGAGAGAAGGGAGAAGAGGATCACCTGCTCTGCTCGTTCCCTGAACCACACGTCCTCAGCAGTCTCAGACATCTTTGTGACTATGAAACTGTTCGTGCCTGTGTTCTGGTCAGTCAACTGTTATCTCAAGCTCAAAATATTCTGGAATAAAAGTATTCCTTGTCTATGATTTCCAGTATTCGTTGTCCATGATTTCCCGCCTGACTCTTTACTGCATAATTATACTGCTATTGAAGATTATCTTTCATCTCTCCCAAGTCTAATTAAATTTCTAAGTCGAGCAGGTTCTTCACCTTCCTTCGATGTCTTCTGCTTCTATCACTCCCCCTCCCCCTCCCCGCTTTTTCTGCTCCGTCTGCTCCTCCTTCTGCTTCTCCTCAATCATCATCATTATCTTCTTGATATCTCCTCTCCTCCTCATCCTAACCCCCCTCCTACTTCTTCCCGTCATGTTCCTTCATGCATTACTTATATTATTACTCCAACCACCATCTATTTCGCTATTCCCCTACCACCCTTTAATACTGTTGTAAAACCACGTAATATAAGCTACATTTAAAAGTGGTTTTTTATCACGACGATTCGGGCTTCTCCAACCAGCAGTTTCAAAGCAATCCCCTCATTTTCCAAATTAAGACTCAAATATTTAGAATGTCTTGCGACCCTCTATTCGTAAAAAAGCTAATAAATATTTAAATTGAACTTTCTTGGTAATGATGACACAGTAGAATATTTAATAATATAATTTTTCAAAAACATCAATAGCTAATTGTGTATCATTTCTTCATAATCCTTTGGAGCTCAACGTATTTTCAAAACCCAGAGAGATCGTGCCCCGTCGCGCGAGGACGGGGAAGGAGAGACGAAGGGAGGAGAGATAGTCGCGATAGGAAGGGAAAGGCGAAAAGAGTGCAGGAGAGTAGAGTAGAGGTGCTGTTCTGGATAGAGGTTGATCGGTTCCCCGTGTTCGTCGGTTTTCAAGAAGAGCAACCAGAAAGTGTTGATGATTTGATCTCTCAACGAAACGGAAAAGCAACGTTAGAGAAGGGAAGAAACAATACAGAAGTCAGAAACAGTGTTTCACACAAGAAGGGCTAGTATCGGCTTTCTGTTGTTTGCTCTCTTTCCTTTGTCAGCGGTTAGCACACCTGTTATACATCGGCTGATAGGTTGGAGGCTTTCAACAACTCATTCTTTGCGCGTCTTGGCTATTCGAGGAGGGATGCCCATTCACACGCTGTCAGACTTCAAGTCCGCTGATGATGCAGCAAACCCGCCGCAGCCGAACTCGTTTGCAGAGCCAGTGGATGGGGAGAAGCTGTCGAAGTGGTTCAAGGGGATGTATCACGAGAAGCAGATCGGCTCTCTGTGTGCCGTGCACTGCTTGAACAACCTCCTTCAAGACCAAGAATTCGATGAGATTCAGCTAGCTGACATCGCAGCTGACATTGATCGACGCGAACGTCAAGCGCTGGGCAGCGGCAGGATCGATTCTGATCTGAGCTCAGCGAATGTCCGCGCCGACGGATTCTTCAGCGTTCAGGTTGAGAGCGCTATTGCCGTCCTCGCCTCGTTGACCATGTTGTCGTCCCTCAGGTGATCTTGGAGGCTTTGATGACGCGTGGATACCAGTGCATGCACCTGGGAAGCTCTGAGACTGCTGGGGTGCTCAAAAGTCCTGAGAAGGAGATCGGCTTCATCCTCAACAGGTCGGAACACTGGTTCTCCCTGCGTCGGCTGGGGAAATACTGGTGAGAGTATTGACACTCATGGAATATGCGGTCAACCTGTGAACAGGTTTGATGTGAACTCCATGTATGAGAAACCGAAATTCGTTTCGGACTCATATTTGGGGATGCTTTTGATGCAGATGAAGAATGACGGCTACAGCGTCTTTGTAGTCAGAGGAAATTTTCCACAGACGTCAATAGAGAAGGACAACAGAAGACTGGAAGAGCTGGTCCAAGCGTGTTCGGACAATCAGGTGACACAGGAACTTCGACAGTTGTGAGTAGTCAGTCTCTGACGCGGTTACAGCTCTCGGGACCCGTGGCATCTCAGAGCAAAACCACAGCTTCGTCTGCTTTCTCTGGCTCCGGTTATTCGCTTCAGGAGGACAACAGTGCTGAGATCCAAGCAGCTTTCGCTTCTGCGGGTGTAGATCCTCAAGAGGATCCTGAGCTCGCTGCTGGTATTTTATTTGTGACCTGAAATCTCTTGGTAACCTTGTTGCCTGCAGCCATTGCCGAGAGCCTCATGTTTCAGGCACCTCAAGTCGCTGTGGACCCTGTGGTAGGTCTTGACCTGCATAAGTATGTCATTCTCATCCTCGTTCGTAGGAAGAGATGCGACGTAAACGCCTGCAGCGATTTGCTGCGCAGTCATAGTAGTGATGCACATGTTACGGCAACCCTTTTCTTCATTGCGCTCTGTGATCAAATCGATAACCGTTCACTTTAGCAAACACAGCCGTTTCTACTTAATCTACACAATCCATCTCACCACAATTTTCTCAAATCAGCCCAGGATCCTGAACAATCCTCGACATTCCTGAACATTCTTCGGAGTGTTTTACCAACAACTTGCTACCGGCAGACCAGACCGAAATCTTGAGAAAAATGTAACCAACATCGGTGAATAAATTCAGGAATGCCAACAAGCCAGTTGCTCTTTAGATGCATGTTCCATTCTTCATGTCAAGTGTGCAAGCGTAATGCTCCCAGTAAACCCAGTCTCCTCCCACCGGAACGTCTGAGCTCCTGTAGCTACCATCAGGATACTGATCTGGCGCAAGATATTCTCCATAATCTCCTGGAACAGGATCAATTCTGCAGAGATGATTGCGATACGTCGGCTTGCACCCAGGCCCGGACTCGATGGCATCGGGCCGCTCCCACAACTTCACCGCTTGTCGAATCATGTCGAACATCCCGCAGAGTCGCTTCTATGCACTTGGAGTCTATCGACCCTCTCCTTCCGCTCTCTCCTTGCCTCAGGCTCCTGCGCTAGCTCGCTATCAGGCTCGCTATATGCGGATCGCTGGAAGGGCTGGCCTGCCACGGAACCTCGTAGTCCAACGAAGGAGGTAGGGGTACTTGGGGATCGTGGGTGGTGCAAAGAAAAACTGTACCGAATTTATGTTATTCTGCATGGTAGGGGTGATAAATATTGTGGTAGTCAGAGGGTAAGGGTACTATCCATCCAACCGGAGCAGGACGGGTACTATTCTTTCATTTGAGCAGGGGTGTTTTATTTATGAAGGCAGGTAGGGTCCTCAAATGGCAAATTGGTGGGTAAAATGAGGGTAATTTGAGGGTGGGGGTAATGGTTAGTGTACAGGCGGGTGGGTAGAGACTACGGGCATAACGGCGGGTTTGAACAAACGAGCGAAGGCAGGAGGAAGAACAAAGGAGGGGAGACGAGAGAAGAAGGGAGAAGAAGAGAAGAGAAGAACAACACAGAAACAGCTTCATCATGTCTGGATACTCCTTTCCTGTCCTGGAAAATCGCGAGATCCTCGAATGCATGTCCGAGTTGGGTTGCGCCATGACAGAAGAGCAGTTGGTCAAGCCATCACCCGATCACATCACAAGAGTGATGGAGCAGTTGCTTGACATCTTCATGGGATTCAGTGCGGACGATAATGCACAGATGCGATTCAGCGGAATCGATGTGTTTGATCATCCCGAGCTACACGAGTTTTCTGTTGGACAGCTTGCATTCAATCGATCCATGTGAGTAGATGTCTCCTTCCTCTCGCTACGATTCCCAAGTGAAGATATTGTGACATGTCTGTACAGAATGAAACTGATGCAAGCGTCGGGAGTACACGACTTCAGCCACAAGGACCTTTCCAAGCCCGAGTATCCCAGAATCCGCAAGATCTTCAGTGCTGTCATCAACTTTGCCAAGTTCCGAGAAGAGAAGGTGTCGACATTTGAGCAGTTCGTCGAGGCAACGGTAGGGAATGCATCCCATGAGCCCATGACTGACTGAGCATCCACTGCAGGAAAACTTGCAGAACGAGAAGAGCGTCGTAGACAACAAGTTTGAGGAGCTGACGGTGCAGCTGCATCAGCTTCGAGCGCAGAGAAAGCAGGAAGAGCCGATCATCCAAGGCCTGCAGCAAGAGAACGAGAAGATGGAGGAGCAGATCAAGAGCCTGAATGTTGAGCAAAGCAACCTCAAGGCAAAGATCCACGAGATGAAGCAACATAGACAGGAGCTTAGCGACAAGCGCGACCATGATCAGTTTGCGTTGCTCACACTCAAGACTGAGGTGTCGAAGCTGCAGAACCTTGTTGTTCGCTCTCCCGAAAGGGTGAAGAAGGAGATCGGGGACATGTCGTCAGCTCTGGAGAGCGACAACTCACTGCTCAAGGAGATGGACGAGAAGCTGCAGGGGCTGCGAACCAAGATCGATGGGCTGAACAAGACAGAGAAGGACGTGCAGAAGCTGATCAAGAGTCTGAAGGAGGTCGAGGACGCCATGGCCAAGACGAAAGCAGCAAAGAAGGACGTGAAGAGGCTCCAGACTTCCATGCAGGAGCAGGAGGCCTTGAGAAAGGAGCTCTCGATCCAGGAGCAGTCGCTTAAACGGCAGTTGCACAGCACCTCGGCAAGAGCGGCAGAGCTCGAGGCGAGGCAGAGGCTGAAGCGTGAGGCTGCCGACCGCGAGATGGAGCGATGGCGACATGCGCAGCTGGAGGCAGACAAGGAGAATGTGCAGGTAAGATGGTGAGGACGCGTGCAAACATACTTGACTACTTTGAACAGTTGTCAGCGGAGGCAGGTAGGCTCGAGGATGAGGCGAAGCAGCTCGAGAAGCGTATCTACGACATTGAGAACCAAGAGCAGACAGAAATCGCAAAGCACAACGAGGAGCAGGCGTCAGTAGAGGAGAAAGTGAGAGGCTACAACCTTCGCATCCTCAACGCCATCTCGAACGTGTGAAGACGGGTGAAGACCAAATCTTGCTAACCAGATAGCTTGCTTGTTAATCAATAAAGTTTCCTAGACTACCTTGACGCCCATGTCCACAAGGAGCACACGGAGGTTAGGGAGGAGACCCTGGCGGAAGGGATGGCTCTTGAGGTTGTTGTCTTTGATCCACAGCTCGTTGAGGGAGACCAGCCTTGTCATGTTTGCGGGTAGTACAGTGAGCTCGTTGTTGCTCAGAGTCAGCACGTTGAGGTTGGTCAAGTCTGCGATTCCCTCGGGCACCACCGACAGCTTGTTGTCATGCACCCACAACTCTCGTAGAGCAGTCATGCCAGCGACCTCGGGAGGGAGGAGGGAGAGGCGATTGCCGTCCAAGTTGAGCACCTGGAGCTCGGTGAGTCTGCCGATGGAGAGAGGCAGCGTGTTGAGCTGGTTGCCGTCGAGCAAGAGCTCAGTGAGGGAGGACATGACCCCGACCTCGGGGGGAAGCGACTGCAACTCGTTGCCGCTGATAGCGAGCCGCTTGAGGGAGGTGAGGCCAGTGACGTCGGTAGGCAGCAGCTTGAGCTTGTTGGAGCTGATGTTGATCCTCTGGATGGAGAAGAGGTCCTTAAGAGAAGGAGGCAGTGAGCTTATGTTGTTGTCGTTGCAGTTGAGTTCCACAAGAGCTGAAAGATTTCCGATGGTTCGCGGGAGAGTCTCCAGCTTGTTCTCGCTGATGTCAAACATTCTCAGCTCCACGAGGTTTCCGATCAGAGGCGTCAAGACCGTCAGCTCGTTCCTCTCGAACCGAAGATCCGTCATGGCTGTGAGCGTACAGACGACGGGAGGGATGCTGCTGAAGAGGTTCGAAGCCAAGTTGAGGCGGGAGAGGAGGCGACAATTGCTGATGGACGCGTGCAGACTGTTCAACCGGTTGTGCGAGAGGTCGATATGCAGCAGCTCTCCACAGTTCCCGATGGCAGGATGGAGGAACGTGAGCGCGTTATGGTCCACCATGAGATCGCGTAAGCCCGGCATGCTGCCGATGCCTGGGGGCAGCTCAATGAGTCGGTTGTGCGAAGCTCGGAAGTGAACAAGGGAGACGCATCCTCCAATGGACGACGGGATCTCACTCAGACGATTGACGGACAGGTCGATGGTCGTCATGGCGTTCAGCCGGCCGATCTCCTCCGGCAGGGTGAGCATCTGGTTTCTCTGCAGATAGAGCTCGGTGATCCTCCGCATCTTGCCGATCTTGGAGGAGAGGTTGGTGATGGAGTTGTCTTTGAGAGTCAGCCGTTGGAGCTCCTGCAACTCGAGGATCTGGTCAGGGAAGTCGGAGAGCTTGAGGAAGCTCAAGTCCAGCTCCATCGACTTGCGAGACTGCGTGAAGGTCCAGAGGTAGTGGATCGTTTCGCGCTCTCCTCGCTTGATCACCTCCTCTGGCGGCGATCGCAGGGGGTTGTGGTCGAGGGTGATCATGGTCAGGTTCGTCAAGGATCCCAGGTCGATGGGGAGCACAGTGAGATTGTTGTGATCCAGCCGGAGGTCTGTGAGAGCCGACAGGTCGCCGATGGACTCGGGAAGAGCCTCAAGCTCGTTCTCGTGCAGGTGCAGCACCTGCAGGAGCGCGAGGTCCCCGATGGAGACTGGGAGCGAGATCAGGCTGTTCTTGGCGAGGTTGAGCGCCCTAAGCGCGCTGAGGCTTCCGATGGCAGCAGGAACGACGTCGAGGTGGTTCCGGTCGATCCAGAGCTCCGTGAGAGCGGTCATGTCAAGCACCTCGTACGGGAGGTTCTTGAGGAGGTTGTTGGAGAGCGACAGCCTTGTCAGGTTGGTCACGTCGATGCCGTCCAGCGGCATCGACTGGATTCCCATCCCGCTGAGGTCCAACGTCATAGAGGACTTGGAGTCGTACATCCTTGCCAGATACTCCAGCACAGCTGCCGTCCCCTTCGACACTACTTCGACCGGAGGCGTTCGCAGGTTGGACTTGCCGAGGTCCAGCTCAACCAGGTTAGTCAAGGTGCCCAATTTGGGAGGAAGCGTGTGGAATTTGTTGCCTCCACAGTGCAACTCGCTGAGGGAAGAGAGCATGCAGATGACGGGAGGCAGATGCGTCAGACCGTTGTTGCTGACATCCAGAGCGTTCAAGTTGGTGAAGTGAATGAACGACATTGGGAGGGTTTGGATCTGATTCTCCGCTAGGTTGAGTAGCTCTAGACTTGACAACTTGGCGAACTCCTGCGGGAGTTCGGCGATCTTGTTGCCGCAGAGGTTGAGCTCTCTCAGCTCTGTGAGCTCGAAGGTCTCGAGAGGCACATGGAGGAGGCCGATGTCGATCAGGTCGAGGATGCCGGTCTCGGAAGCCTCGTCGAATCGTGACAGATAGTCCATGACGTCTTCTACCTCCCATTGCAGTACCACGTGCGGAGGCGTGACGAGCTGGAGCCCGTTGAGAGACAACTTGGTCAGGTTGGTCAAGCGACCCATCTTGACAGGAAGGGCGGTGAGGCGCGAGCAGCCGTCGATGCTGATGGCCTTGAGCTGCTTCAGCTCGCTGATGTTGTCTGGTAGCGACTTGAGCTTGTTGTTGTCCAGCTTCAAGCTCGTCAGGTTCGACAGCTGTAAAACTGCTTGAGGGAGCTCCCGGAGTCCAAGATCCCCCAGGTCCAACTTCCCCGTCACTCCTCCGTCGCGCAACTTGCCAGCATAAGAGAGAATAGCATCCTCGCCCCGCAAGATGATCTCTTGGGGAGGCAACTTGGGCCCGTCATCCTCGACGTCTGCTCCTGACTTCCGTACATTGGCCAGTTCGGTGATCTTGATCTGAAGTTCGCTGATGTTGGTGAGCCGCTTCAGATCCGGAGGAAGAGATTGGATTGGGTTCTCTTTGAGGATCAGAGAATACAAGTTCGTCAGCTTTCCAAGAGACGAAGGCAATGACCGCAGTTGGTTGTAAGAAGCATCGAGCTTGGTGAGATGGATCAGTTGTCCGATCTCTGTCGGGAGTTCACTGAGCAGGTTGTGATCGATCAAGAGCAGCTGCAGGTCCTGGCACAACTTCATTTCTCCTGGAAGAATTCTCATCTGATTTCTTGACAACTTCAACTCTCGTAACTTAGTGTTGTTTCGGATCACTTCTTCGGGGAGCACGCGCAAGTGAAAGTCACACAAGTCCATACAACGAGTCTCTCGCGCAATCTTGAGCTTCTTGATGTACTCCAACGTGGGACGAGTTCCCTTCTGGAGAACTTCACGGGGAGGAGAGACTAGAAGATTTCCTTCTAGGTTGAGGACGTTGAGATTCGTTAGGACCTCGAATTGGAGTTGAAGCTCAGAGATCCGATTGGAAGCAACTTTCAGCTCTGTCAAGGCGGTCCACTTGTGAAAGATCTCTGGAAACGTCGTCAACTTGTTCCCGCTCAGTGCGAGGGTCTGCAGATTATCCAGGTCTCCAAGACTCGAAGGGATTTCATCCAAAAGGTTGTCGCACAACATCAATTTCGATATACCTGTCAAGTATCTCATCATAGGAGGAACAGAATCGAACTTGTTGTTATCCAGACAGATCGTATCTAACTTGGTCAAACTTCGAATGGATGGTGGAAGAGTTGACAACTTGTTATTTTGTAGCCAGAGCTTAACCAGATCGGCGCAAGATCCTATCTCAGGCGACAAGGAAGATAGTTGGTTGTCACTCAATGACAACTCGGTCAAGTTTGTGATCCCAAGATACTCCACGGGAAATGATCGCAAGTCCAAAAAGGACAATTCCAACACTCGCGAATCTCGCGCTTTCAAAACTCGGCGAAGGTAATTCATCACCTCGTTGGTCCCTCTCATGACAACCTCTTGCGGAGGAGTCTTCAGGTTGTTGTTGTCCAGATGCATCGAGTTCATCAGCTTGAGGCTTGAAAACTCTGGTGGAATGCTGGTGATTTCATTGTCGATGAGCGAGAGCTCGGTCAAGTTGGTGAGGAGCGACAACTCGACGGGCAGATACTTGATCTTGTTGTCTGCGAGAGAAAGCTCCTCCAGGCCAGTCAGCTGAGCAATCTGAGGTGACAACTCACTGATGAGATTGCCAGTGAGGAGGAGCGACTTGAGGTACTTCAACCTCGCAATCTCCGGTGGGAAATGCCACAACCCCATGCAGCTCAGGTCCAGGACTCTGCTGTTCTGTGACTTGGAAACTTTGCGGAGATAGTCCATCATAGACGAGGTTCCCTTCATGACCACTTCCTTGGGAGGCGTCTGAAGCTTGTTCTCGTCCACGTTGATGATCCTCAACACTTCCAACCCTCCAATCTCGAGGGGAAGCGAGGTGATGGGGTTGCCAGAGAGGGAGAGGAACGTCAGGTTGGTCAGGTATCCAATTTCTGCTGGAATTTCAGGGAGATTGTTGTCAGTCAGAATGAGGGTGTTCAAACTTGTCAGGCTTCCGATAGAAGCAGGGAGATTTTCTATTCTGTTGTCTCCGAGTTGTAACTCTCTCAGTTGACCGAGAGCGCCGATAGTCGCTGGCAATGTCCGGAGCTGGTTACTTGATAGTTTCAAAACGCGCAATTCGGTGAGCTTCCCCAACACAGGGATGATACTCTCCAGCTTGTTATGCTCGATTGAGAGGGACCTCAGGGAGGCTAACTGCCTGATCGCCGGGTGCAGAGAGGTCAAGAGATTGTTGTCCATGTTCAAAGATGTCAGATTCACAAGTGACTGTATCGCGCCAGGGATCACAGAGATTCGGTTATCAGCTACAGAGAGGTCAACTATCTCAACATGAATGCAGACCTCCGATGGGAAATGAGTAAGATTCATCCCGCCAAAATCAGCCCGGCGAGCATCCCTGATGCGATAAATTTGCTGCAAGTACTCCAAAATGGCCTCGACCCCACTCTCCACGACATTGATCGGCGGTGAGTTGATCGGATTTCCTGACAACTCTAAGGTCCTCAGGCCAGACATGGAGGCAAGCTCGGCAGGCACGGCATTCAACTGATTGTTTCTCACGTCGAGCCTGACCAGGTTCTTACAGGCTTCCAGCTCCGGCGGCAAGGAAATAAGCTGGTTGCTGTTGGCACGAAGTTCTCTCAGGTTGGTCAAGAAGCAAATGTCAGCATCGATCATTCGAATCTGATTCTCCGAGAGCATTAGAGACACAAGGTTCGTCAAACGACACACTTCTTTAGGCAGCTCGAGCAAGCCAAGCTTTGACAAGTCTAGTTTTTCTGACCTCTTGCCGTCATACAAGGCTTTCAGATATGCTAACAAGATGGTAGTTCCTTGCATGATGATCTCACGAGGTGGAGACTTGAATTCATTGCTGTGCAACTTGAGCTTGCGCAGGAGCGGCATGTTCCCCATTTCAGGAGGAAGCTCAGTAAGATTGTTGTGATCGATTGCAAGCCTTTTCAAGCCTGTCAGCTCCACCACCTCAGGAGGAAAAATCGCGAATTCGTTGTAGCTCAAGGTCAATTCTTTTAACATAGTCAATTCAACGAAGGCCGGGTGCAGCTTTGTTAGATGATTATGAGCAATTGACAATCTCAAGAGCGCTTGCAGCCCAGCAATAGCTTCAGATAACTCAGTCAAAGAATTGTGATCTAATGCCAACTGTGTCAATGAAGTCATGGTATGGATCTCTGTGGGGATCCGTGACAGCCCCATGTTGCTGAGATCAAGAAAACCTGCGCAAAGTTGTCAAATACTTGAAAACAAATGTTGAAAGAGAATACCTGATTTCTTGGCATGGAACATTCGCTGTAAGCTTTCCATGATGCTTGCTCCGTCGGCTTCGCTTTGCTTCGAAATCATGCCACCATCGATGATTTTATTTCCCTCTGCTTGTGAAGATTGTTTGTGAGTAGTTCCCGGAATTGTATTGACTGCTGACACGTCGACAACCAACGTTTTGAGCTTTTGAATATTACCCAACTCTGTTGGAAGACCCTTGAGAGGATTTTCGAACAAATTGAGCTCTTGCAACAAGGTCATGGTGCCAATGGAAGCAGGGATGGAGTCCAATCGATTGTTGTTCAGAAGCAGTTGTTTCATCTTTGTCAGCCGACCAATCTCTAATGGCAGGGCAGATATGGCATTGAAGGACAGATCAAGTTGCCTCAATGCTGTACATTCACCAATGGTTGTTGGAACTGTTGTCAACTGGTTTGCGTTGCACTTGAGTTCAGACATAAGCCTCAAAAAGCCAACAGTCTGAGGAAGAGACCTCAGCATGTTGTGATTCAAATCTAGAATGCGAAGATTCGGCAGATTTCCAATACTTGTAGGCAAGTACTTCAATAAATTGTGAGAAATTGTCAGAGTGACAAGGGCTGTCATGTCGCCGAACTGATTAGGAAGAGAATTCAACTGGTTAAAGTCGAGAGCAAGGGATTGCACATTATTGAGCTGGCCGATGGAGGGAGGAAGTTCAGAGATTTGGTTGTGATCGACCCAAAGAGTAGCAAGCGAAGACAGCATTCCAATGGATGCTGGAAGGTGCACAATCTGATTGTCAGCAATGCTCATCTCAAGCAAATTTCGCAATTCAATAACTTCTTCAGGCAACGACCAGATACTCAGGTTGCTGAGATCTAGAACTCCGGAGACCTTTGATTCAAAGATTCTCCTCAAGTAGTCCACCATGATAGTCGTTCCAGCTGCTACGATCTCTTTGGGAGGAGACGTAATACGTTCGTTGTCAATAGAAAGAATCGTAAGATTCGATAAATTTCCAACTGCCACAGGAACGACTCTGATCTCGTTTTTCCTGATATCCAACTCTGTAAGATTCGTCAGTTTGCTAATCTCGGGCGGCAGCTCGGCGAGCCCATTCGAGAATAGAGTCAGCTCCTCCAGACTTGTCATCAGCCCAATCTCTGCAGGCAGAGAGTTCAACAAATTGTTATCAAGAGCCAGTCGTCTAAGTCCAGATAAATGAAGAACTTCTGGCGGAATTTGAGTTAGTCCCATCTTAGAAAGATCCAATCTTTGAGTTCTGTGTGCGAAATGTATCGAAGCCAAGAATTCGAGGATTGATTGCGTACCTTGTTTGAGGATGGTATCAGGGGGTGAGATCAACTCAACGCCTTGTTGATATTCAAATCGACTCAGTTGGTTCAAAGAACCGATCTCGGCGGGCAGAGAGATCATTCTATTGCCACTGATATCCAATCTCTCTAACTTCAGACATGAGGATATCGAAGGCGGTAAAGTAGAGAGCTGGTTGTTTGCCAGGATCAATTCACTAAGTACTGTCATCTCTTGAAAGGCGTCAGGCATATTCAAAATAAGATTGTCACTTAGATTCAAAATTCTCAACCCTTGTATATTGAAGATCTCAGGGTTTACAAACCGTAGACCTCGACCACTCAAGTTCAGCACTCCAGTATGTCGAGAGTCGCAGATTCTCCTCATGAAATCAACAACATCGGCTGGACCGCGGGCAACAACCTCAACCGGAGGAACAGTGATCTCATTGTTTTCAATGTCAAGTCTTGATAGGAGTGTTAGGAGTCCCAGTTCTACAGGCAATGCCGTCAATCGATTCGTAGCGAGATTTAGTTCCGTTAGTGCTGACCAAAATCCTATTTCTGCTGGTAAACTTTCCAATCGGTTGTGGGCCAGCTGCACAGCAGTAAGTGCATGCATGCCCCCAATCTCGTCTGGTAGCATGTCAAGATCGTTGTGGGCAAGTAGCAATTCTGTTGTATTTGTAAGAAATCCAATTTCTGGAGCCAAAGTTCTCAATTGATTGTTTGAGAGATTGAGATGTACCAATTTGCTAAGATTTCCAATTAGGGAAGGCAACGCCGTTAATTCGTTCCCGAAACCTTCGAGATGGAGCAAACTGTGTAGTTGGAATACAGGAGCCGGAATCATATTGAACTCATTGTTGTTGAGTTTCAATTTGTGCAGTTTTGTCAAATCTGCAAATGAAGCTGGCAGAGATTTAAGTCTGTTTGAGCTTAAATTGCACTTCGTCAGTCCTTGAAGGTTTCCAAATGTAAGAGGGAGTGAAACGAGAGAGTTTCCAGCCAAAGATAATTTTGAAACATTGTTTGAAATCCGATCACACATGAAGGTCGGCCAAGAAGTCAAATTGTTTCCTTTGAAGTTAAGCTTCGTTATATTTGTTGTCACGATTTGGGTAGTCCAAACTTCAGCTGCCACCAAATTTTCTAACGCCATGCCATGCAGGTCAACGACGCCTGTGTACCTTGCATCAAAAAGTCGCCGAAGAAAGCTCACAATCACATGCAACCCTCGATCCAAAATCTCTTGTGGAGGATTTTTGATAAGAGAATTGTCGTATCTCAATTCCTGTAGTACTTTGATTGTTCCTATTTCCGGAGGTAGCGCGATCATAGGATTCCCGGTCAGAGAAAGCTCAGTGAGGCTCTCGAGTTTTGTGAAAGCGAGCGGAAACGATTTAATGTTGTTACCGTCGAGAATCAGAGATTGAAGAGAAGGCATCTGAAAGATAGCAGAAGGCAAAGTTTGCAGACCAAAATCATTCAAAGTCAGCCTATTTGTCTCTCTAGCAACTCTCATCCTTCCCAGATATTCGATCAAAACATCTGCACCCTGGGCAAATACCTCTGGTGGGGGCGAAGTAAATCTCTCGACATCGCACCTGATGGATCTCAAACTGATGAGATCACCCATGTCAGGGGGCAGCTCGGTGACATCGTTACCCACGAGAGAGACATGTGCCAAGTTTGACAACATTCCTACCGACGAAGGTAATGACCTCAATACGTTTGAATCCAGTTGCAGCTGTTTGAGCGAGGTCATGAAACCTAAAGAATCTGGAATTTCCATCAATTTGTTGAAAGAAACATTCATCTGAGTAACGGAAACAAGCCCTGCGATGCTTGGAACGAGCGTATGCAAATCGTTGTACTGAAGACGCAAATCTTGCAGGTTGGATAGATTGCCAATGGATGAAGGAATAGCTCCTAAGTGATTCTCGCTGACATACAGATCTTGAAGATTCACGAGATCTCCTATACTCTCTGGTAAGATAGTCAACTCATTTCGATCCAAGAGCAATCGACGCAGTTCCGTCAAACGTCCTATTTGATTCGGCAGGACTGCAAGATTATTTTCTCTCAGGTCCAGCACTCTAAGATGGATCAGTTGGATTATCTCATTGGAAATAGCATCTATCTTGTTTTCTTCCACTGAAAGTTCTCGAATTTCTGTGAAATTATAGATGAACTCTGGAATAGCAGGGAAAAAATTCTTTGACAGATTTAGGAGTGTAAGACTCGAAAATCTTTCTTCCGGAATTTCCAGAGCCTGGAAACAGAAAAGTCAAGAAAAGAGATACAAGTTGAAATTCAATCACCTTCAGGCTGTAATCCGGACTTGACAAGTCTAGATTCCCAGACTTTGTTGCATCATACAACAGACGAAGGAACTTCATAGTGTACTTAGGGCCCTCAGAAATGATTTCCTTTTGCGGGAAGGTGATGGAATCGGCGTCGAACCAGAAGATCTTGAAGGTGGTTATCTTTCCTAGTTCGATGGGAAAAAGGTGCAACTCTTCATTGTCGCGGATGTCAAATTCACTCAAACGGATCAATCCTCCCACTTCAGGCGGGAGCACCCTAAGCTTGTTTGATCTCAGTGAGAAGCATTCGAGACGGGCTAGATTGCCTATGGTCTGTGGGATCACTTCAAGCGAATTCTTGTCGCATCTGAGCTCTGTCAAGTTTTCCAGCAGTCCTATAGCATCTGGAAGCTCTCTAATCTTGTTGTCTGTAAATGTTAGAGTTTTCAAGTTAGCTAGTACATTGATATCGCTTGGTAAAGCAGATAGACTATTTTGATCCAACAAGAGTGTCTGTAACGTGTGAAACTGCAATACATATGCTGGGATCTTCTCAAGACCTTGATTTCGAAGGTCGACACTGTCAGAATGGGCCCCGAAGGACAAACTTCGAAGGTAATCGATGACAGCATCTTTGCCTTTTGCGATTATCTCACTTGGCGGTGACTCAAAGGGATTGTCGTCCAAGTCAAGAGCCTGCAGGTTCACCATATTCGCCATGCTAAGAGGCAGAAAGGTCAATTTGTTGCTTTCCAAATTCAACTTCCTCATTTCGGTCAAAGTACCAAAGTCAGCAATAAGACTTGAAATCTGATTGTGGCTCAAATCCAATGAGACTAGATGTTTCAGTTTTTGAATATCTTGCACAGACGTGATACGATTGTTAGCCAACGATAGACCAGTAAGACCTGACAACTTCGGCACTTCTTGTGGCATCGCGTTCAAGCCAAGATTGCTCAAATCCAAGTGATCTGTTCTGTAAGAGGTCTCCACCCTGGCAAGATACTCGTAAAGCAAGTCCTTCCCTTCGCGGATAATCTCAATAGGGAATGACTTGAACGGGTTCTCATCGAAATTCAGGTAAGTAAGGCTTGTCAACTTGAGTAGTCCAACGGGAATGTAGTCAATCTTATTGGTCTTGAGCGACAGGCTTGTCAAATTTGTCATTCCAAATAAATGATCAGGAAGCTCAACAATTGAATTTCTGTCCAGCCTAAGACTCGTAATTGCAGTAAGCTCAGTGATCGATGGAGATAGGACCGATATTTGTAGGTCCATCAAAGTCAATTGCAAAGTCTCTTTGGCTAAAGCCAAGGCTCGGAGAAAGCCTCTTGTAGATTCCACCCCCTTGTTCAGAATGTCTGGAGGAATGTAAGCAAACAGTGATGGGTTGTTTTCCATGATCAGGTTTTGCAGCTGTGTCATCGTTCCAAGGCCAGGGGGTAACCGTTGAAGGTTGTTGTCGGCAACGGAGAGATCTGTCAGGTTAGTCAAATCTGTGATAGAATCGGGAAGATCCGTGAACATGTTGCCAGACAACCTCAGCCTTAACAAGGAGAGAGCTTGCCCAAGCTCAGTTGGCACCTGAGTCATATGATTGTGAGCTACTCTCAAGTCCGTCAAGTATTTCAAGGAACCGACGGTGGAGGGAAAATTGCTTATCTTGTTTTTTGAAAAGGAAAGCTCCTCCATCAGTCTTAACTCTCCTATCCATTCTGGAATCGTCTGGATCGAGTTGTTTTCCACATTCAAACGCCGGAGCCTTGTGAGTGACTTTACACAGGACGGAAGCTCAGAAAGTTGATTGTCCATGAGAGAGAGCCTCTGAAGCAAAGTTAAGCTGCCAAAGGTAGCAGGAAGCTCACTAAGCAAATTATTGTCTAGCATCACGACAAGAAGAGAAACGATATTGCCAATCATGGGACTGATTGATATCAACTCGTTGTTCTCCACTTTGAGCTCCTTCAGCCCACTAAAGTTTCCGATGACACCTGGAATTCCGCGAAGATGATTTCCTTTTAGGTCAAGAGAAGTCACAGATGCAAGTCTCTCTGAATCCTCTGGAAATGAACGAAGGTTCATTTGACTCAGATCCAACTTCCCGGACACAGCGCCCATATGCATCTTGTTCAAATATCGACACATGCGTGCAGTCCCTTGTTTGACTATTTCCTTTGGAGGAGATATCAGAGGGTTTTCATCCACAATCAGCTGCTCTAAGTCGGTGTTGTTCTTCAAGTCGAAGGGTAGAGTTTGTATTAGATTTTGCGAAATATTCAAAGCTTTGAGCTTGGACAATTTACCGATGTTAGGATTGAGCGAAATTATCCTATTGTGCGAAAGATCGAGGTAAGTGAGGCTTCTCAACGCCTTGACTGCATCAGGAAGTCCTTCTAGAGCGTTATGATGAAGATGCAACTTTTCGAGTCCTGTCAAGTGAGACACTTCATTTGAAAATTGAACAATGCGATTCCTCGATGCGTCAAGTTCCTTGATATTCTCAATACTACTCACTTCAGCAGGAAATGATTCCAGTTCCAAGTCACTAAGGTCAACTTTTCCAGTGTTCTTACCCTCCAGTATCTTCCGTAAGTATTCCATGATGTATGATGTTCCACGGTTCGTAATTTCTGGTTTTGGATATTGAATGCTTTCATCATATTCAAACTGAGACAAATTTTTCAGCAAGCCTAGTTCAGGGGGCAACATATTGATAGGATTTCCGACAACATTGAGCACTGAGAGTCGAGTCAGAGTCCCTATCCACCTTGGAAGAGAAGTAATCAAATTTCCACGGATAGAAAGCTTGGTAAGATTGCTCATGTGCTGTACTTCTGGAGGCATAACCTTCATCAAATTCTGGCCCATAGTTAAGACATTCAAATTGGAAAGTTTCTCAAAATCATCAGGCAAATCTGTAAGTTGATTCTCTCCTAACATGAGTTCTTCGAGCTCTATACAATCGGCAAGTGTGTGTGGGACAGCTTGGAGCTTGTTCTTATCCAACCTCAATCGCTTCAAACATGTCAGAGATCCGATTTCTAACGGCAGCTCCGTGATAGAGTTGTTGGTAAGCATAAGTTCAGTCACACCTGTCAAGAAGGGGATTTCTCGAGGGAGACTGGTGAGGTTCAGTCCGATAAGTTTTAAAGTTCCCGTCTTGTTAGCTTCCGAAAATCTCCTCAAATATTCCAGGATTGCATCGGTTCCTCCACTCACAATCTCAGGCGGCGGAGCAAGCAACGGGTTCTCATCCAAAATGAGTTCTCGAAGCAAGTTGAGATCGCCGATGTGAGGCGGTAACATATCGAGATGGTTGTCACGAACATTCAGATACACAAGTGATTTCAGATTTCCGATTGTAACGGGCAAAGATTTGAGGTAATTTGAGCTCAAGTCAAGACTGGATAAGTTGATAAGCTTCCCAATGACAGACGGAATCTCCATCAATTTATTCCGAGATATTTCGAGTTGTTTCAATGATGTCAAAGTCTTGAGAACTTCCGGTTTGAGCCTCACAATGTCATTAACATTCAGCGACAGCAGCGACAACTCCTGAAGAGAAGTCAATTCATTCGGTAAAACATCCAATGCAAGAGACTCAAGGGAAAGCTTTCCACTAACTCTTGATCTATCGACAAGCTGAAGGTAAGCCAAGACAGCCTTCGTTCCTCTCTCAAGTATCCTCTCTGGCGGAGATGACAAAGGATTTCCGTCCAAATTTAGGCTTGACAATTTGCTGACTTTCCACATCCAGGTAGGCACAATTTGAATTTTGTTGTCCGCTAATTGCATGGATGTCAAAGAGGTGACTCTCATGAAACCTGCGCTGATTTCCTTGAGCTTATTATTGTTCAGAGTAATTGTTTTCAAAGAATACATCGTCCCTACTTCCTCGGGAAAGTGAGTCAAGGAATTATCATGTAGGTACAATTCAGTTAGATTCGTGAGAAGCCCCAGCTCTGGGGGCAACATCGCTACTTGGTTGGAGTGGACTGAGAGATAAGTCAAATCGGTAAGCATGCCAATCTTCCCTGGAATTCCATTGATATTGTTAGAATTGAGGCTGAGATATCTCAGTCCCTGCACATCTGCGATCTCAGGAGGGAATGAACTTAGATTCATGTTGCTCAAATCCAACTCACGCGTCTTGGCACCGACAAAGACACTTCTCAGGTACTCAATGACAACCTCTGTTCCATTCGGCCATATCTCCTTGATGGGTGACTCCAAGTTGTTTCCTTCCAGATCAAGAAAGTTCAGAGTGGGCAGATTTCCTAAAGAGAAAGGCAAACTACTCAGCCGATTGTTCTTTAGATTTAGGCTGGTCAATGCAGTCAGCAATCCTATGCTATACGAAATGCTGGATATTTGATTGTTGCTAAAGTCTATCTGCTGCAGGTTGTACATCTCACCAATTCTATCAGAGATGCTCTCAATCTCATTGTTAGACAAATTCAACTTCGTGACTTTGACTAGTTCAGCTACCGCATTGGGCAAGCCTTTGAGACCAATGTTGACCATGTGCAATTCATAATCTTTCCAACTGTCTTCTATTGACTTGTGGAAGGCTAGGAAGGCAGCAGGGCCACGCTCAACAATCTCGGGGGGGGGCGATTCAGTACCCTCCCCCCCTACATCTATTTCTCGAAGGTTCACAAGACGCCAAACTGAAGGAGGAAGAATCCGAATGCGGTTTCCCGTTGTCACCAAACTTTGCAAACCTGTCAGAAGCGAAATCTCTCCAGAAATGGAATTTAAACTGTTATTTGAGATCGCCAAACGCCGCAGTTTAGTTAATTTGAAGAGCTCAGGCGGAAGGGTCTTGACCTGATTGTTGCAGATACTCAGATCTTCAAGGTTTCTCAGGTTGCCAATTTCTGGCGGAAGAATTTGGATCATATTGAAGTCCACCTTCAAAGCTTCCAGCAAAGTCAACATTCCGATGGCAGGAGACAAAAGGCTCAACTGATTGCCTTCCAGATTCAAACGCGAGAGGGCAGGTAACAAACCGATATTCGTTGGCAAGCTCGTCAACTGATTATAAGCTACTTGCAGCCTCGACAAATAGGCCATCCCAGCAATCTCTGGAGGAATCCTCTGCAGGTAATTATTTGACAGTTTCAGGTCTGTGATCCCACTCATGCTAAGGACTTCTGTTGGAAAATCCGTGAGCCCCATTGAACTCAAATCCACCCGGAACGTTGTCACTGCAGAGTCGATCATCTTAAGATAAGACATGATTGCTCGCGTCCCCTTTGTGATCACTACATCAGGAGGAACTCGCAATTGATTGTTCTCGAGGCTTATTGTTTTGAGATTGTTCAACGTCCAAAGGCCAGACGGGAGACTTTCCAACTGGTTGTCATGTAAACACAATTCTTCTAAATTCTTCAGCTTTCGAATCGAATTCGGTAAGTCGTGAAGGTTATTTGACTGTAGGTGCAACGTCTTCAATTGCAACAGTGAGCCGACACTAGCATTCAGCTTCTGCAGCTGATTGTGATCTAAGAGAAGTTCTTCTAACTCCACAAAGACACCAAAATCCATTGGCAAAATCTTGAGCTTGTTGTAACTGAGAACAATCCTCTTCACAAAGGTGAACGACATGACATCTGGAGGAACAGTCAAGAGCCCGTACTTGTCTACTAAAAGCTCTCCTGTCTCCCTTGCGGTCACAAACAGGCGAAGATATTTAAGAACCCTCGAAGCGTCCCCTTCCTGAACGACTTCCTTTGGTGGCACTTGCAAGTTTTGAAAATCAACGTCTAAAGTTTTCAACATTTTCAGCTGACCGACTTCCGGCGGCAGGATTTGCATAGGATTTTTGTACAAATTCAACACCTGAAGCTTTGTGAGTTGGCCGATTGCTGCGGGGAGAGTTTTCAACTGGTTACTCTCAAGGTCCAAATTCTTTAATTCAGTGAAGATTCCAATGTCTTCCGGCAATTCAGTCAATGCATTTGACTGGATGGATAAGTTGGTCAAATCTGTCATCCACAAGACCCCTTTCGGAAATTCAGTGAGACCCAAACCATCAAGACTCAAGTGCAGAGAACTCTCCGCAGATTTTACAAGCTGGAGAAAGCCTAGTGCTTGGGAAACCCCTCTAACTGCAATTTCAGCTGGAGGTAGTTCGATGTACTTTGGATCAATGTGCAATTTACGTAAATGATCTGCCATTGCTCCCATACTCACAGGTAATGCTGTGATAGGATTTCCAGAAAGCGATAATTCCGTCAAAGACGTCAAGAGGTGAAAGTTATTTGGCAATGCTCTGATTTGATTGTTTGAAATTCGCAATTGTTTGAGTTCCCCAAGCTGACAAACTTCGTTTGGTAAATTAGAAAGAGAGTTATTGGATAGTCGAACTTCACGTAGCTCAACAAGCAAACCAATGACTGGAGGGATTTGTGTTATTGCATTGTCATTGGCCCATAATTCCCTCAGAGTCGTCAATTGTCCTATTTGAGGCGGTAAGGAACTAATTTGATTGTTCTCCACGTTTAGGCGGATCAAGCCAGCAAGTTGACCGATTGCTTGGGGCAGCTTTTTCAACTGGTTGAAGGACAGCCATAGCTCTGTCAGGCTTGTTACACTTCCCAGCTCATTTGAGACCACCGTAATGTAATTGTTGTACAATTTGAGGGTTTGCAACGTCGACATGTAATTTACCTCTTCTGGCAACGATCTCAAACCAAAACCTCCCAAGTCAATGGCATCTGTATACGGAGCTTCCAAGATTATGCTGCAGAATTGGAGGATTTTCTTTGTTCCCTGCATGCACACTTCTCGAGGGGGAGAATTCATCTTACTTGCATCCAATCCTATTCTTGTAAGATTCGTCAAATTTGCCATGGACGTCGGAAGGTTTGTAATTTTGTTATCGACGAAAGAAATATCTTTTAGCGAAGTCAACATGTGCAGGTTGCGAGGCAGATTCAACAGCCTGTTTCCATCCATACTTAGATTTTCGAGACTTTGTAATTGTTGCAAACTGTCGGGTATTGATGTAAGAAGGTTATAATCTAAAAGCATGGTCTTGCAATTGACTAACAATCCAATTTCATCAGGTAAAACCTCCAATTGATTCTTGCTGCAATCAAGTTCTGTGATCCTTTCTTTGACCGCCATTGTGAGAGGCAACAGAGCTAAACTCATCCGACTTAGAGAAAGGACACCTGTTCTATTCCCAACATGAAAAGAGCGCAAATACGCCATAATTGCAGCTCCACCACGATCTATAACATCTTCCGGTGGTGCTTCTAATACACTATTTGCAAGTTTGAGCTCCTTAATCGAAGTGATTTTACCAAGAGTTGGTGGTAGATTTTTGAAAGTGTTGCCAGATAGGTTGAGAATTGTCAGGGAGGTAAGTTCAGCCAAGGTGAAAGGTAATAGATCGATTTCGTTATTTGAGACATCCAAATGTACAAGAGAAGTCAACATAGGTCCAAGTGATTCTGGTATGCTTTTGATCTGATTATCATTTACAAAGAGAGTTTTGAGTCCATTAATGTACAATGCTTCAATGGGAAAATATCGAAAGCCTTGAAAAGCTAAATTTAGCTCTTTGGTTCTTCTCGCGTCAAGAATTAATCGAAAATATGCCAAAATATCAGGAATTCCTCTCAGAGCCAAGTCTTGCAAGGGTCCGGTGAGCGGGTTGTCTTGAAGATTCAAAGTCTTCAAGTTTTTCAGAAGTCCGATTTCAACTGGCAACGTTTGTATGCAATTAGAACTGAGATCCAATTCCTCCAATTCTGACAATGATCCAAGGGAGGATGGCAAAACTTCAATGCGATTTGAGCTTACAGAGAACACTTTCAAGTTTCGAAGAACATGAACAGTTTCGGAGATAAAATTCAATTTGTTGTCTTGCAAAGATAACTTCGTCAATGCTGTCAATTGTTCGATGTCGTGAGGAAATGAGCAAAGCTCGAACCCATGCAAATCGAGGTCGTTTGATTCCATGGCCTTCAATAAAATACTGTAATACTGTACACATTTTTGGGCACCAATCTCATTTGTAGAAGGTGAACATGACAAAATCAATCCTCCATCAAGAACTTCCGGAGGGACACGAAGTTTATTTCCCCTCCAGGAAATATCTTTCAGTTTCGAAAGATAACCAAACTGTACCGGAAGATTCTCTATGGCATTATCTTCAAAATAGAAACATTCTAATGAAGATAGATTCATTATTGCTGAATCAATTTTTGATATTCTGTTTGCAGACAGATTCAAGGAAACAAGATCAGAAAAAGAATAAAAAAATCCAGGAATTTCAGATATCATGTTATTTGCAAAATTAAGGCTTGATAATCTTGTCCCAACAATTTTCAAAATGTCAGGTACTGTGAAGAAGACATTTTTATCCAGTATGAGAGATTTCAATGCTGTCAAGTGGCCAATGAATGCTGGTAAATCTTGCAACTGATTGGATCCAAGATCAAGTTTGTTCAGTTGTCCAACTTTCCCCACTTCCTGGGGTATTGAATTTATCCCATTTCCTCTTAGTGTCAGCTCTTTAACATTCTTGAGACTGTTCACAACGTCACCAAGCTGCTTGAATGCAATGTAATCGAACGTTAAAGACTCAAGTGCGCTCAACTTCTGCAAACTATCAATCAGAACATTTGTCCACGGATTCTTACTCAGGCTGAGAGATTTTAGAGCAGGAATCATGGACAAGATATCTGATCCCTTGGTTGACAATTTTTCAAGATTATTTTCATCCAGAATTATAGAATTCAATTTTGGCACTTTTGAAACTTCATTGGGAACTTCGTTCAAATCCATTCCACTCAGGTTCAATACTTTGTCCTCCAAAGCGTTGTAATACCTCCTTCCATACTCAAGGACGAAGTGTATACCTGTTCACCAAATATCATGTTCAATTTGCAAAGCAAACCAAATCGAAACAACCTTTAGATACTACATTTGGTGGAGGAGACTGCAAGGGGTTGTCCTTTATGCGGAGGTCCAAGAGACGGCTGCAGAAGCAAAGCTGAAAGGGCAGTTCTTGTATTTGGTTCTTTTCAAGGGATAGAAGCGTCAGACTAGTAAGGTTCTTGATTTCACCCGAGATAGTTTTGATCTTGTTCTTGCTTGCATCAAGAGAGATGAGTGAGATAAGTCCTGCTATATCGTCAGACAAAGCTTGTATTTGATTGTCCGAAATGTCCAGTCGTGTGAGCGTCGATAACATTCCTGCATCCGGAGGGAAAAAGTCAAGAAGTAGGCCTGAGAGGACAAGGCTTCCAGAAGTAGCACTTCTGACTATTGTGGCAAGGTAATCGATGATGGCCTTTGCACCCTTGGAAGCGATTGCGAGGGGTGGAGATTTCAGATTAGAACTTTCAACATGCAGATCCTTGAGGGAAGTCATATCACAAAAGAAAGAAGGAAGGTAAGAAAATTTGTTGCCACTTATGGAAAGTGCAGTGAGCCCCGTCAGGGTTTGGATCTCACTCGGAACATCAACGAATTTGTTGTTCTGAACCCATAAAGTTTGCAAGTTTGTTAGATTTCCCATCTCTGATGGTAAACTGGACAATTGATTGCCATTCAATCGCAATTGAAAAAGGGCCGTGAGCATGCCAATCTCCTTTGGGATTACTTTGATCTGATTGTCTGAAAGGGATAAGGACTTCAAACTGGGAATGGAAAAAATATCTTTTGGGAAGATGGGCAGACCCATATTGATCATGTCTAACTTTCCCGTCTTGTGAGCTTGTTCAAATCTCTTTTTGAGGTTTTCCTGCAGGATATCGAAATGACTATATGGAAACACTTGGAGACGAGAACTAACCACGTCCATCCCTTTTGCTGCTGCTTGTCCTGGCTTTGGTTTATCCTGATGAGCAGCAGTAAGTAAATCCTATTCATTGCGTTGAGCCTTACCTGAGTAGAAACTCCTGCTGCTCCAGCTACAGATCCTCCACCGCCGCCACCACCTCCTCCTCCAAGTTCTCTGCCACTTCCTTCCATCCTCCGCCCGTTATCCCGCCATTCGGCCCAACAGCGATAGAATTACTCAAAGAATATGACTAAAACTTTTGGGAAAAGTACAAGTTCGGGGCCCGGGGCCGGGCGGCGGCCCGGGGGCGCCGGGCCGGGTGTCGGTCAGGCGCTATCTGACGAGTCGGAGCCTACCCGGTACGCCGGCCCCCGGTAAGCCTTGTCATCGTGACGCGCGATTTCTGACGGAGCCTCGGTGTACAAGTTTTTTCAGTGTTCAAGGCCGAAACGTGACGGTTTCAAAATTTGTCCCGGTGATCATTTCTTGAAGCCTTGAACTCCGACGGATTTTGAAAGTTTCATGCAGGGCTCAGTTTTCTACTCAGCAGTGCTATCCCTCAGCAATTCTCAGTACGGTCAAGTTTCGCAGTGCCACTGTGCGGCATTAAACTCGGTCTTGGCTGAGCAAAAACTTGGGCCTGTCTTCAGGCTTGTTACAACTATATCTGCGTGACTTTGGCACAGTACAAGTCTAACAAACTTGTGCTTCGTCCGTCACCGGGGCCCGGCGGAACTCGGATATCTGCGTGACTTTGGACTAGTACAAGTTAATCATGTTGATCTTTGTTTGGTTAGTTGAAGGGCCGCCTTACTTCGGAACAGAGTGACGGTACGGCGCAGCGCAGTGCGGCAAAGCCTGTTGATGGAACGTATGCCAGCCCGGCCAGTCAGATAGCGCCGAGTTAACAAAAACTCTCCTGTAAACCAAGACGACTTACGTGGCAGGCGGCAATGTAGTACGTGTGACGAAGAGGAGGCCTTCCTAGCCGTCTTGCTAAGGTCCCCTCATGTCTGGATGCTTGGGTTTCACATCCTAGCATACAGTCTATCTCTCATGTGCTCCTCAATTCTGGTTTCGTGTGCATTAAACTCGGTCTTGAGCAAAAACTGTCTTGTTGAGATTAAGGTCGATGTGATATCTGCGTGACTTTGGACTAGTACAAGTCTAACAAACTTGTATTACGTCGGTTATGAGCCTCGATTACATGCTCAATCATGTTGATCTTATATTTGGTTAGTTGAATTGTTTACTGGAGTTTTTTCTTTCTTGGTATTGTTTTCCCGTTGCTGTTGAAAATTCATGCAAATTCTATCAAGCTTTACACATTCGGATGACTCCTCTCTTCAATCAGGCTCTCTTTCTAGCCGCAAGCCAAGTTGTTTAGGAGTCTCATCTCAGCCTCAATTTGTTTGATTGATCTTCGAATAGGAAAAACAAGCCTTTCCCCAGCCAGATTGGTCGGTCGAATATCTGCTTAACCGTGTGGAAACGCACTTGAAGCTGATTCGATTCTTATTGAAGTTTTCATGTCATGGAGCTAGGCTGTGGCATGCATAACTGGAGCTACTTCTGGATCGGCGAACAAGGTACAACTGCACAACAATCTTCGAATGCCTTGAAACGGATGTTCCATCTCGCGGCAGCAATCTCTGGTCACAAGTTCTTTACGGTTCAAAATTTATCTTTTGGTCTTCAAATGCCGGCGGGCACGCCGTCTCTCGGGAGTCTCTCTCTCTCTGTTATCTGAACTCCGAAGTTCTCTCCTCAGACTCTCTTATCTTATCCTCCTTCTCTCGTTATTGCATCAGCTCGCCAGGCATCTCCCTTATCTCTGCACTGCACATCCGAGTAATAGCCCTGCATGAAAATCTTCTTCAGAATGGACAATCCTTGAATGGTTATTGCCCACTCAGCATGACTGTGAACTTGACGTTGTATCATCGTATCTTGACTTGGATCTGCTGACATTCTTGTTGTGTGACTTTCTGACGTCCGATTTAACGTACTATTTCAGAAACTCGGGGGGAGGATGGAACGTATGCCAGCCGTGCCAGTCAGATAGCGCCGAGTTAACAAAAACTCTCCTGTAAACCAAGACGACCGTTACGTGGCAGGCGGCAATGTAGTACGTGTGACGAAGAGGAGGCCTTCCTAGCCGTCTTGCTAAGGTCCCCTCATGTCTGGATGCTTGGGTTTCACATCCTAGCATACCGTGGCAGTCTATCTCTCATGTGCTCCTCAATTCTGGTTTCGTGTGCCGCGATTGATTAATTAAACTCGGTCTTGAGCAAAAACTGTCTTGTTGAGATTAAGGTCGATGTGATATCTGCGTGACTTTGGACTAGTACAAGAGGCCGCGGTGCTGAAACTCCTGAGGGCGCCGGGCCCGGTTCAAGTTGCGGCAGGCCGTAGTCACGTTGAGTCTGGTTGCATTCATGCGGATGAGGGCTCACTATATTTCATGACAGTCCTTGTACCTTGTACCGTTGACTGGACTGGACCCATCACATGGGGTTCCCTGAGTTGAAATAGGATGTTGTGGGGTCCCCTGTATTGCCTCAATAGGGTACTCTTTTAGCGTTATTGACTCGTGAGGGGGTAGGGTGGGATGAGGTATAACGGCTGATTTCAAATGATTGGCTCAGTTGTGGATTGAAACGGGGTAGGGTACTTAGAAAACGGGTCATTTCTATAGATTGTGTACCTGCAGTGTACCGGTGGGTATTCAAGCTTATGGAGCAAGGGTCAAGTGACAGCGAGATCCTCTGACGGAGTGGTGGTACGGTGGTGGGAAGCGGGGTATGTTGGAAGGGGTGGGGTGGCTGCATGTTCATTCCGAGATAGGTAGTCATCAAGATAGCTTTGTATCCTTTCCCAGTATTATTTGAAAATACCAAATCTTTGTTTCCAATTGTTGCTCCACGAAATGTTTTTTACATACTGCTGTAATAGTTTCTTTGAAGCTGTGTGATTGGACAACGCACAACAATCAAATTCAGCAAACTATTTGAAATTGCTATCACAAATTATCGGAAATCTGCACCCCCTTCCCCTTTCTCTGTCCTTGGGGGTGGCCGACGCGGCAGGAACGGAGGCGCACAATGCCGCTTCCCCTTAGTGCCCAGCAGACTGGAGACGTTCAGACTATCTACTACCCTGGCATGCCAGTCCAGCAGTTCGATCCCTCCATCTACTCCACTCAGATTCCTTTTGGTCTTTCTGCAACAGACATGGGAGTGCAGCAGCAGTTCGCATTTTTGCCAGGCGCTGTGCAGGTTCAGCCATCGCAGGTCGGCGTCAGCGCCGCCGTCCCGACGCAAACGGTGCCCATGCAGTACATCTCCTATGATCTTGGTGCAAATCAAGCTGTTATGAATGCGGGTATGGGATTTTCTGGCCTGAGTATGCCACCAGCTATGCCTGGTTCATTCAACTCAGATCTTGGAGTAAGAGCCAACCCGGAAGAGAAGCTTCGTGAAGCCATGAGGACCATACAGGATCTCTCAGACAAACTCCAAGAAAAAACCTCTTTTGCCAACAACGCGAAGAATGTTGTGATGCAGCTCAACAGACAGCTCAGCAAGTACAGGGGCGAGTGCACGAAGCTCGATGCGGCTTGCCAGCAGTACAAGAAAGAGCTCGATTCCAACCTCACTCGTCAGAACATGGTGTAGATCATATTGTATTTCGTCTTCTGTTTGAGTTCTGATTTGAGGCGAAAATAGGTTGATGAGCTCGGCAAAGCTTACACTGAGGTCAACGAGAAATGTGCGAAGTTGGAGATGAGCTGCCAATTGTACGAACGTCAAAATCAGGAGTTGAAAGAGAGGTGAACTGTAACTTCTTAATTGACTTTTCATCGAAAATTTATGAATCTGCACAGAATCCGCTTGTTTGAGGGGCAGGATAAAGTCATTTCTTCACTCGGAGAACAAGTTGATGAATATCGCAACAAATGCGCTCAGCTTGAGGACAGGTTGCTACTCTCTATAGGAGCTGGGTTGTAGCAATCTCACAAAACTTACACAGTTGTATGCGATTCCAAGTGGAGAGCGAGGAGAGCCAGGTCCTCAAACAAGTTATCGCGGATGGCAAGGCTCAAATCGATATGCTTGTCGAACGTAACGACATTTCATTTCCTAGATTACCTTCTCTGAAAATTGTTGTCAGGTATCCGTACCCTCGAGATGGAGAATCAAAGAAGGTATCCTGTTTCATATGTATCTGCTCTAGCTGAAATTTATGTTTCAGCGCAATTCAGTTGGAACGTGCTATGCAAACGCAAAAGATTCCTTTGAACTGAAGGCGTTCTCACAATTGCAGTCATGGATTCTTCCGACAGAAGCAGCGCCTTTCGACGAGTTAGCATCTATCGACTTAATTCATTTACCATTCACATGGATTTCTTGCTTTACAATAAATCAGTGTTTTTTTCAGGGGTCCAGATAGTACACTTCACTGAATCAAGTAACTTGATGCAAGTTGTTGCACAACATTTAGTAGCCGTAATACGGGAGGCTAGTTCCGTAGCTTGCAGGAGAAATTCCATCACCAACAGGGGTGCTGCCACCGCTGAAGTAGCCAGCGGAATAACCAGTGCCGGCTCCTCCACCGTAGCGGGTGTCGATGGGAACGGAGGTCGTGTACGAAGGATTGTCCAACCTGAATGATCAGATTAAAAATCTTAAACGACTACATCTGAAGCTTACGGAGCATGGAAGGAGTCGACGATGGACCAGGCGCCCGAAGCTGTAAAATACGCCAATCAAACCAAAGCCATCATACCACAGAGGGATACCAGGGGTTCCGTCCAAGGTGGTGTCGTCCATCCTAGTGAAGGAGGAAGAGAGAGCCCTACAAGTTCAAATCAATGCCACGAGATGACCATGATTTTCATGGTAGATTTGTCAAATTCACACCAGGAAAGGACTGAACTGCAGATTATCACGAGACATCTAGAATTATTTTTTGCAAACAAATAATGAATGTTGCAACATACACAGAGATTATGTATAATCTATAAGGTTTAATCAAAAGTAGACACATTTGAAGCAGGGGTGCAAAACATTTAGAGCCACAACATCAATGCTGTTTGGTGCAAAGAATCCAGAAACAAAATGAAGTAGTCATCGCCAAGGCAAGCAACAATACCACAGTAAAATCTTTGTTAAATTCCAACCGAATACAAGCAAACGCATAAAGAAGATGGAATGAGGCAAGATCAGCAGGGTAGAAAAGGAGATCGGGGCACAAAACGTCGTCCAATTCAAATGGATCATTCCAGATGAATTGTTCAAGGTGACGCACGCACGAAGAACAGTAGAGGGACGAATCAAATCAGAAGAGATTCGACATGGATATTGGAGGGTCTGTACACCAACAGGACTCGTTTAACTGCATTTCTTACTTCAAGGGAACAAGGGCGAAGATCATGGTCGCGGCGCTTGGGGAATGTCTCTTCGCGTAACCCCACCTTTTTATTCACTGTCCTCTCTGATAGTATAAAGAGGGGTGGTGAGCATTCAAGGAGCAGGGTAGGGGTTCCGTCTCTGGCGCAATACAATTGGTACGAGCGGTAGTGGATCAAATCAGGAGTTTGGTGGGGGTAGTCCCTGAGCATCCAGCATCCACCCCCACCCTAGTATGGTAGCAATGATACCCCACCTGTTGTTTAGTGTTCGATTGCTGGGGGAAGGGGGCGGTCTCACGGGGAGCTGCAATGCCACAGAGGGCAGTAGTGATTTTCAGTACTTATATTTTACTCACTAAAGTTAAGTTATCCAATGGTCAAAGAAATTAGGGGATCTCCCGGTCTCCCGGCCCGGAGGCCGCACTCACAAGGCCCTCGCAGTGGTTGCTGTGATGGTGCGGGGGATGCCTGGAGCTTGCTCTGCGCGAGGAATATGGCGACAAGGAAACCAAGCACTTCGTCAATGTGTTCTTCCATTTGACTCTGTTTCTTCGACTCCCCTTTCTGCTCGATCTCCCTCGTTGTCCAGAATGTTCAATGTCACACCAGATTTCAACACAGATGTCAACGTACATCAACATAGAATTGAGTTGAGGAAGGTCAGGGAGAAAAAAATCGAAGAAATCAGAGGCAGAACTTCAGCATCTCTAATACCAGATAGTATGAGGCATGTTGAAGAGGATGAAGATCACAAAACAACTGCAAGAAATCTCAAGGAACTTGGTCAGCAGCGGCTAACAATGGAGGAACGAAAGAATAGAAGGCGGGCCCTCGACAACCTCGGCGTTCCTTCTTTCGATAAGTTCCTCGCTGATAGAAATGTTTCTCTTAAGAAATCGGAAGTTGAAATATTGCAGCTGAACATTGGTTTGTACTGCAACCAGGCATGCAATCATTGCCATGTAGAGAGCTCTCCCAAAAGGAAAGAAATGATGTCGAAGGAAGTTGCAAAAAGATGCATTGAACTGTTGGACAAATCGCCTTCTATCAAGACAATTGATCTTACTGGAGGTGCTCCTGAGCTTAACGATCAGTTCAGATTCTTGGTCTCGGAAGCAAGCGCTCGAAACAAAGAGATTATTGACCGATGCAATCTCACGGTTTGCAAATGAGAGAATATCTACCAGGTTCATTTGTAAACTATAAGCAGGTATTGACAGAACCAGGTCAGGAAGACCTTGTAGATTTCTTAGTCAAGCACAAAGTGAGTGTCACTGTCGCAAATCAATTAGAATCACTCATACGTCAATAGGTTCGAGTCATTGCTTCACTTCCCTGTTACAGCCTCAAGAATGTGGACACTCAGCGTGGGAGTGGAGTGTTTGAGAAGAGCATTCATGGCCTAATGAAATTGTTTGTTTTTCCTTTGTGATGCTGTACTCGATGCTTATTCTTGTGCAGGAACCAGGCTGGCTACGGTGCAGAAGGTAGCGGCCTTGTGTTGGATCTCATCTACAACCCGCTTGGAGGTTTTCTCCCACCAGAACAGAAAGCCCTTGAAGAAAAGTCTGTCTTTTTGTCGAAATTTGAGTGTCTGAACGGTCAATGAGCTAGATACAAAACGGAGCTTTCTACCCATTTTGGGATCGTGTTCAACTCCTTGTTCACACTTTCGAATATGCCCATCAAGAGATTTGCTGACTTTCTGTATCGACGGGGAGAACTTCAAGAGTGAGCATTCCATTATCTCTGTACCTTCTCTTTGATCTGCCATCAGGTATATGGACCTCCTGGTCCGCAACTTCAACCTCGCAACCGTGGATGGGTTGATGTGCACGAATCTTGTGATGTTTGCTTGAAGTGCAGCTAGCGCGAAGAGTAACTCCAAAGTAGGTGTCCGTCGGGTATGACGGGAAGATGTATGATTGTGACTTCAATCAGCAATTGGCGTTGGGGATGAAAGTCAACAAGTTGAGGTTGAGTCTGTCCTCCTTTTAGTGGCCTTTATCTCATTTTTCGCTTTAGCTCGCCAACGGTTTTCGATGTTCAAAGCTTGGAAGAGCTCAGAGGACTTGCTGTGGTAGCTGACAGCCATTGCTTCGGATGTGAGTCTTTCTTCTGTGTCCGATAGATTGTGATGGTTTCCAACAGGTACAGCTGGAAATGGATCATCGTGCCAAGGCGCGACTGCATAACTATTCATCCGGGATGATGACCCCGTCTACCAAGTCACTTTCAATCAGTGATGATGGCTCGTCACGGCAACATGTTGCGATGTTTGACAACTTAGTAAAAGTCGTGGTTCTCTCTTGTTTCTATTGCGGAAGGAATTTGATGGAATGGGTGGGTAGAGGATTATTAGCTAAACGACACAAAACATAAAATTTCAAAATTCTAAGTTTTCCGTCGAAATTATGGATCATTGAAGACCCACGCGCCAATATAAAAGAGACAAGTAGCACAATAGAATATTCATAGCAGCATTGATATCACGAGACTTGATACGGTTTTGAATACAATTGGTGGATCTGCACTATTTCAAACACCGCACCACTGAGACTTCGTCAGCCATTATACCATTCTTTTTGATTTGTTTTCGTTCCAAATCATACAATTCTTGATGGCTTTGATTGCAATATTTTGTTGTTCTGAATTCGTCAACTTCCTTCACCTCGAAGAATTCTGACATTGCCTTTTGATCCATTTTACAGGCACTGATTTCTCTCCATGTCCAGTACAACCGAATGATGCATCACCGTATGCAATCAATGGACTTTGATTTGAACGATCACCTTTCATCTTCATGAAGAACTTATCAATCGCCTTGTGTTTGTGGATGTAATTCTCCATCTTCAGGCTTGCAAACTTGTTTTGACAATTATGTTCGAACAGGATCTCGCTATTTGCTTTTTCCACCCTTTTGAATATTGCAACAGACAAGACTGATCCATGATGTGAAACAAATCAATGATGTCTACGCGAATAGATTGTTTGCGTATTTTGAAAATAGGTGCAATGGTATATCGATCAGATATACCATGAATCTCCAAAATGCTTTCATCCAATTCTTTTGTTCAGAGTTTCTCTTGATTTTGTCAGGGTTCCATGCCAAGTTGTAATGATTGTCCCATCCAATGATCTCATTTTGCTCCCTTATGAAATCCACGACATCCTGTCTTTCGAGAACACGAGTTTTTGGTGGAAAACTCCATCCATTCACAATATTCCGTATATCCTGTATCTCCTTTTCTGAAGAAATTCCGTTGAGCTTTCCCCATTCCTTGATGTATTTAGTCTGTTTCGGTCCAATTGCATAGAACATGTAGTTTTGAAAGTTTGTTGCATACTGATCAGCAGAATAGTACAGCACTCGAACATCCCCTTCTTTCCTGCGTTGTATGGGTTGATACTTGTTCCCTCTTTCTCGCCAAAACTCATCTAAAACATCCAACTGAATTGCGTTACCTCTGCGTTTTTCACCCATCAAAAAACAGGTCCGATTGTATGTTTGATCAAACAGTCTTGTGATGTAAGTATCATCACCTTGACTTGAATGTTTCTCAAAACACCATAACAACAGATCGATTGAAGATCAAACTACTTCGATGGCTTATTTTGCTTATGTGTTTCACCCAATCGTCAATCACATCGAGCATTTTTTGTTGTTGGAGATGTTTTTTCCAACATATCCTGACCGTCGTATGTGAATCAGAACAAGAGGTTTTTATGCTTCTTTCTTTTCCTTTTTTCCATATTTGATCAGGAAGAACGCGGGAGGGAGGGAGGGCGGGAAACAGGGAGGGAAGGAGGGAGGGAAGGAGGGAGGGAGGAGGGCGGGAAACAGGGAGGGAGGGAAGGAGGGAAGGAGAGCGGGAAGGAGGGCGGGAAGGAGGGAGGAGAGCGGGAAGGAGGGCGGGAAACAGGGAGGGAGGGAGGGCGGGAAGGAGGGAGGGAAGGAGGGCGGGAAGGAGGGAGGGAAGGCAGAAAAGCGGGAAAATGAAGCACAAACTTGGTACCCACCCCTACTCTGACAGACACAGGATAAACATGGGTAGTTGGACTTCGGAAGAATTGATCTGTCACCATTGGTCACCGTGTGTCACTCAACCACACGCTTATTAATGTTATGTTCCTGCCCTCACGAGAGGAAACTCTTTTGGCTGAGGGGGACTCGGTCAGGCCAAGCGATAAGCTCTTAGGGGCGATCATGAAAGACGATGGGGGCGAAGACTTGCAGGCGAGCACATTGGAGGGCGTATCTGAAATAGATCTGTCACCTTCCTGCTTGCTTGCTGGTCCTCTTTGGCTCCCTTTGGACCCTTAGCGGTCTCTACCTTCTTGCACCAACGATGACAGTGCCGGATCCTTCGCTTCTCAAGAGCGATCGTCAAGCATACTTCGAGCAGGCAACCTGTGAGTATCACTCCATCAGGTGTTTCGCGAACCTGACCATCATGCGCCAACAGCGTATCTTCTTGAGACAGGTGAAGCTCATTGGATCTGCAAGAATACTGCGATTGTGAAAGAACTGCTGTGGCTATGGAAGTTTGCTGGGCAGCCAACTGTGAATTTTTTGCAGAGCAAGATCAAAGTTCAGGCCTCGACATGTCTCAATTGCGCCTTCCGCCTCCATCAGGCGAGAACAGCAGCAGTCCAAGATGATGAACAAAGTGAGTTTGACAATCTCGGCCTTGCCAACAAAGCGGATACCAGGAAACGGCTTGCAACATGCCTGGATGAATGGGATTGTGAGAGATTCAGTGCAATTCTCAGGCCAGCGTCTTCAGAGAATGTATTGGCTGGAAAGAACCTCGATCAAGTTCTCTGCACTCTCATCGAAATTCTTCTGAGGCCGCAAGTGCTGATCTGCGACAAGCACCTTTGGGAGGGCTTCAATCGGGTGATGCGATGCCTGATCACCAGGAAAGAGGTGGGTGGAATCGGACGCCTTCCGGGTCTTCTGATTGTCTTGTTTCTGGCACCTAGGGCCTGCAAATCTCCGGTGCTCTGAAGCTTCCAGGCGTGTACATGTTGTGTGCTCATCACGATCAAACCGTTCGAGATTGGGCGAGATCGCAGGTGCCGTGAACGAAGAGTTTCATTCGCTGACTTGCGTTTGCAGGTGAGATGCATGGGAACTTTGGACTGCATCGACGAACCTCCTGCGCTGGAATGGGTGGTCGATGAGATAGTCAACAGGACGATAAATGGTCTGAATAGACTTGACAATGATCAGAAGTTTCGGCAGCAACTGGATGAAGGACAAGATTACATCTTCAGCGATGATGAGAATGTGGTGAGGAGAAAAATCATGCCATGACTTCTGTGCTGTGAGACCAATCTGATCTTTTTTCCAGCTCTGGACAGCCGTCCTTGTTATCTTGAGGCAAATGCGACCGCAGTCCATCAAAACACAATTTTCAGAACGATTTCCTGGATTTCTTCCGACTGTGACTGTCTCTGTGGTAGAGAGGTCCAAGACAGTGTTAGCGGCGTCTCAGTGCCTGCTGCATCTCCTGAAATCTCACGGGAGTGAATTCTGGGAGAGAAGCACTTTCAGTCCTCACTTCATGAAGAGAATCCTTTGCGAGCTCGTCGAGAGATGTGTCAGCATGCCTGTGAAGAAGATCGCGCTTGAGATCCTCGAGGAAGTTGCCTGCTCGTGCTTATCCTCAGGTCACTTTGGTCAAGAGGTAAGCGAGGAGCTCTTTCTCTTCCTCAGCGGCAGCTCCATGCAGTTTGCGAATGATCCTACTATCGGGAGCATGAGCATCAAAGTGCTCGTTCAGGTGGTCAACAGGATGCTGGATGCTGGCAGCATGAGAAAGCTTCCTCTCGTCTCCGCCCATCAGTGGATTCCTCACCTGCTGGGTGCCACCTGCTCTCTCAATCTCCCGCCTTCTGTCCGTCTATCTCCAATCAAAACCATCCAAAGGCTGATGGAACTGCAAACCAACAACCTTCTCCTCATCCTACGACGTGGCTTACAGCCTGCTCGGAATTCCTTGCACTCTCCTCCCCTTTCCTCCGACTCGCCCGAATGGCTGGGAAGCATGTGGGATTGGCTGTTGCTCAGAGCAGGAGTGCGCAGCATCCCTGGTGAGATTCATGCTTCCATTCTTCGAACAGCTTCCGCTCTGCTGCTGTGGCTCGACGTCGATCAGAGACTGGACGGCGACATAGCGACAATGGCAGATTTGTCTATGAAGGAGGCGATCCTGGTTAGGTTTTCCCAGCTTTTCCTGCTCTACGCAAAGCAGCTTACGTACCATGAGGAGGTTCTCGAGCACGTGAAAAAGGAGGAGGGCGTGAAGCAGAGCTGCTTTGCTCTGAGTGTGATAGCAAACCTGAGCCTCCGAGACGTCGTCGTCCGACTCCTCATCAGCTGCTTTGCTCCTTCACCGATGGAACGACCAGATCTGAGCACTGCGATGAAGCATACTGCTGCAAGCAGCCCTGATTCCTTTGCGCGCGGTTTCTTCAAGGTGTTGGAGGAAGTAGATGGGATTGGATTGGATGGATTATTTTTCCCTCTTCTCGAGCATCTCTTTAGGATCGCAGCAGATGTCATCTCGGATATGATGCTTTTGATCCATCAGGAGCTGCGTAAGAAAATTTTGCTCCTCCTGTGGCGCCTTCTCAAGACTTTCATGATGGCGCGGTCGAGGTGCCATGTCCTACCTCTCACTACTGCTCGTCACTTCTTTGTCTGTAGGTTTCGCGGAGAAAGGTTTCAGTCTTCTCCTCAGCATGCGTACTTCGACAGAGTGACCGAAAGCTTCTTCTTCCTCTTCCACTCGAGCTGGACGTTCTTGAAAGACATGACACCCGACGATGAGGGTGATAGGGACAGCGACGACGAAGACTTCGACCCCAGAAACTGCCGCACGCTGCTGGCGGCGCACGAGGAATGGCTGGGATCTCTTGCCAAGGTAAGCGGCATGGTCCTATTGTCTTGAATGCTGATAGTTCCCTCTCTTCTCTCTCCCTCTTCCAGTGGGGTGGAGTAGCGAACCTGCAGATTAGGCGAGTTTGGTGCGCCTGCATCCTCCATGTCCTGCAGACTTTTCGACATCATGGAGAACAGCTGGAGGAGGAGGAGAAAGAGCTTTTCCGGAGGCTGGTGGAGCGGAGAAGTCTGTGGACGGACGAGCAGATCCTCTCCCTTTGTCGCGAGCTTGTTCCCCTGGGGGTCCCAGGGCTGGGAAATCTCGGGCAGAGCTCGCTGCATGCCCTGCCTGCCTCGGTACCTACCTCCTCAAGAGCTTCGAGGACCTATCAAGGACCGCAGAAGAGGGACCCGGATGTTCGAGTTGAGGGTCAGAGGACGAGCAAAGCGAAGGAGACGACGATAAAGAGGAAGAAGCCAAGGAGCGAGGAAGCGGAAAGTACGCCTCGAGGCGTGAAGGAGCAGCGTGTAGGAGGCTTGCAAGCCATTCTCGCTGACATCAGCGGCTCCAAGGCACAGCAAAGCGAGGGAGAGCAGAGCAGTTCATGCAAGCTCACGGTCGGCAACCTAGTCATGGACCTCTCGAGCAGCATGAAGGATTCAGTCGTCAGAGACGTCCTCGGCACTCGCTCGAGGAGGAGCGAGAGGTCGCCGGAGGAGCTCGAGGTCGAGTTTCTCCTACTCGTGCTGGCCTGGGACCTCCGACTTGATCGTTTTCCGCACGCGCAGAAGCACCGCGAAGTTCCCGTCAAGTTTGTAGGGCTTGACGAGTACGAAGACATGCTTACCAACTTTCTGCTGGAAGAGAGCTGGGAGCAGATCAGAGGATCGTTCGACGAGGCACGTAGTCTGTTGCTGGATGCGAGCAGGTTGAAAGTGTGCGTGTCTGCATGCGAGGAGCAGGAGAACTTCAACAGCTTTCTCGTCGGCCCCTCGACCGTTGCCAAGGAGGAGAGCATGCTAGACGAACTGTCGGAGAACGACCTCGTCCTCTTGGCCTGGGTAAGGAGGTGTGAAGATGTGCGAAGGAAGAGAACAGGAAGATTGCCAGATGACGACGAGCCCGAACATGCGATTGGAATTGTGGAGAAACAGGTAGGTACTAGTCGAGGTGTAGGAAGAGCAGTCGGAGGGGGAGGAACAGAATCGCTTTGTCGGGTCAAGATAGGAGCAAACCTTAATCCTCGGCTCAAGCGGCTCAACTCTCGTATCCTACGAGAAATTCGCGCGGGTCGTGGTGAAGGAGGAGGAGGAGGAGGAGGAGAGGAGGAGGAAGAAGGCGACCTTGTCTTAGTCCCGCTCAACCATAACCTTTCAACCGGCTTGCGGGAGTTTGTTGCTCTCCACAGCGTTCGCTCGCTACCTGCCAACATGCAGCGGCTGATCTTGGATCCTATGTCGTACCTAGAAGGAGGGGCAGTGGGAGCAGGACAGAGAGAGGCTGCTGTTCCTACCGACACTAGGGTTCGCTTCCTTTTGAAAGGTTCCCTCAACGAAGATCAGCTCATAGCAATCCGCTCCTGTCTTGATCCTCGCAGATGCTTCAATCTCATTCAGGTCTTTTTCTCAGCTCCCTTGAACTTTATGCCTCTTTCCATGCACTTCACTACTGCACCTCTTGATTTCTCCTCCTCGTTATGCAGGGACCGCCAGGAACAGGCAAGACGCGAACAATCCTTGCTCTCGTCGCTGCACTCTTCGCTCCCACAGTCCGAGCGGAGGATGCTGCGGATCTCCGTGTTCTTATCTGTGCACCATCGAATGCAGCAGTGGATGAGGTGTTCTCAACTTTCATCATCTTTCAGCATCTCCCCCACCCCCTCCTGTATTTCCCTTGTGCTCACCTGCAGCCATCAGGTTGCAGGTCGTTTGTCAGGAGGGCTGCAGCTGGAGGGGGAGGAGAGGAAGGAGCAGCAGAAGCTTTCAGTGTCGGTTGTGCGGGTGGGACCGAAGTCGCAGGTCCGCCGAGACGTGTGGGAGCAAGTGAGTCTGGAAACGCTCGTCGCCAAGCGCTTGGCGCATCTGAACAAGGAGGGCGAAGGAGGCGAGGAGGGGGAGCGAGAGAGCGCAAAGAGAAAGGGAGTAGACCTGAAGCATCTCAAGGAGGAGGTAGAGAGGATCACTGAGCAGTTGGACAAGGATATGGAAAGTTTGTCTTCAGAAGCAAAGAAAGAGTTGCAGGAGAGGAGGAACGTAATGTTGACAGCGCTCAGTGTTCGCTCCGGGTCAGAAGGAAAGATCAACTCCGAGCTCAACGCAGTCAAAGTCAAGCTTCGTACTCATATCCTAAACCACGTGCAGGAAAACCTCTTCCTCCTTTTCCTTGTCCTCACCTTCCCTCCTCCTTCCTCAGACTCTTGTTTGCGTCACTGACTAAGTAGGTGCAGGTGGTATGCACAACGCTGAGTGGAGCAGGAAGCACCGCCATGAGCAAGCTGACGCGAGGATTCGACTTTGTCATAATCGATGAAGCAGCTCAGGCGATCGAGCCCTCCACGCTCATCCCCCTCCAAGTGGGTTTCTTCTCCCTTCTCCTCCCTTTCCGCTGGTTGACTTTCGCAGTTTCAAGCGAAGAAATACATCCTCGTTGGTGACCCGAGGCAGCTTCCCGGTATCGTCCCATTCTTTTCTTTCTCCTCGATTCTTCACCCGGGCTCCTTCTCGATGCCTTGCCCTCGCTTGTCAATTTGGTTCCCGACCGATGCTGCAGCGACCGTCTTCTCAAGGAGATCCGAGGAGCTCAAGTTCACGCGCAGTCTGTTTGAGCGCCTTCAAGTTGTTCTCACCCTCCTCTTTCTCTTCCTCATCTTCTCCCTCAGCTTGCTGGCTACGACTCGCACATGCTCACCGTTCAGTACCGCATGCACCCCAAGATCCGTGCCTTCCCTTCCCGCCACTTCTACGAGAACAAACTCAAGGATTTCTTTTCTGCAGAGGAGATGGCAGCGCCATGGTAGGCGGGATGAAGAGCAAGGAGGAATGTGCAAGTATGGATAGTGATGTACATGCAGGCATGCGGACACGCGGCTTGGACCTTTGGTGTGGTATGACATCGAATCAGCTGAGATGTTTGGGGAAGGAGCGCAGAGGAACTCGCGATACAACAAGGGGGAGGCCAGAGCCTGCGCCGCCATTCTCAGACTTCTGCAGCTCAAGGCGAAGAATTCTTCCCTGAGCATCGCAGTCATGTCGCCCTACCGCCGGCAGGTCACGGAGATCCGCCGGCAGCTGCAGGAGGCTCGTCTGCTCGACCTGCAAGTCTCATCCATCGACGCCTTTCAAGGACGAGAGGTTGACGTTGCGCTTCTGAGCTGCGTGCGGTCCGGCAAGGAGAAGAACTTGGGCTTCGTCAGTGACGTTCGCCGCATGAATGTCGCGCTGACTCGAGCAAGGCGCTCGCTCATCGTCCTCGGAAACTCGTCGGTCTTGTCGCAGGTGACGTCACAGCCAAGCGCATGGGGAGGGAGGAGGGGAGATGATGTTGCTGCAGAACGAGCACTGGGCGCAATTCATCGATGCTGTAAAAGAGGAGGGACAATTCTTTTCTGTCCCTGAAGACGCAGAGAAATTCTTCCGCACAGCTTCAGCAGCGGAAGCATGAAGAGCCTGCTTGCTGCCTCCCAGCAGCGCCCCGGCTGAATGGCAGTATCCATTGTCCGTCGGTTCCCAATCTGGAATCTTCCAGCAGGGGAAGGGCTGGTATGCTGCGGCAGGAGTCGGATCCTCGGATCATGAGGCTCGTATGCCTCCATTGCCGCTGGATGGCTTCGGCGTCTTCCTGCTTCCTCCTAGGATTCTGCCTGTTTTGTAAGTTCTGCAGCCAATCGCGGTCGAGGTCTCGGAGAATACTTCTGCGACTGACAGCCGGCACCTTGTCTTGCTTCACAGGTTGTAGCCCATAAGATTCCGGAGGAAACGGAGGCTCGTGCGGAGGCAAGTCCTCCATCTTCTTTAAGCTGAAGGGCTTCGCTTTCATCTTGCAAACATTCTGCTTCAGCTCCTCCACCAGCCCCTGCGCATGTGCCCGCACAAGCCTTCCCTTAGAGAGAATGGTGTTCGTGCTTTCCTGACTGGAGAACGAGACGTGAACATCAGCAGGGATGTGATTTCTTTGATTGGTCTGGATGAGGCAAGTTGGCTGGTGGATGATCTCAACTATGTCACATGAGATGTGTCCCAGACTTGAATTATCCAACTCACATTCGATCGCGTCCTGTTTCTGAGAAGGATATTGTAATGTACAACGTAGATTTTCTTTGTCTGTCCAATACATGTAGCTTGCATTGATGTTATCGTAGGAGGAAAAGAGTTCTTCTTGCTGTCCTTTTGTAACGATCACGATCGCCTGAGAGTTATCGACGACGATTGGAGTCAGGCAAGCCGTAAAATCACTTAAAACATCCTCGGGTGTCGTCGCACGTTCTTGGGCAGCAGGAGACTTCATACTCATCTCTTGCTCCTCCAAAGTACCTTTCAAAGTACCTTTATCACTGTCTTGGTCACACTTCTCAAGTTTTGCAGAGTTTCCACCACCGTCTTCTGCAAACATGAAGAAATTTCTTTCATCTGACCGCAGGCCTTGATACAAGGAGAACGCACTTGAATGACTCTGGCTTTTTGCTTCATTGTCGTTCGAGTCCGAACATGTTTCGATCAATTCCATTTCTGCAAGAACTTTCGCATGTTCTATTTCAATCTGCTTCAGGAGGCTGATGTGGTAATCGACATCCGTCTTCTCGTTCCTATTTCCGTCGTTCCTACTTCCGTCGCCATCCTCCATGAGACGGTCAATTGTCTGAATGGATGTTGCTTCCTTGCGAGGTTTGGTGTAGCTCTGTTTGAATGATTGTAAACCATTGCTGGTGAATAACTCTCTTCTCTCTCTGATGCTATTTACAGTGGGTTGTATTGGACTGGATGGTTGCTTTGCTAGTGCCATAGTATCTGTTGGAAGCGAAGAGACAAGGATTATCCCTCTGGCTGCTCTCTTATATTGCTGCCTGAGCTTCTTTTTGAGTTGCTCATCAACAATAAGCCCAGTCAAATCTTCAGAGTCTTGACTCGATTCGCTACAATCTGCTTTGCTGCTGTTGAAGACCCAAGACGGCTGTCGGGCGTTGTCATCTTTCGGGGGTGAGCTGCTCACTCGTCCCCCTGAAGCCTTCAAGTTTTGACGCTTAAGCAGTTCCTTCAACTTGGGTTCCATGAACCTGCCACCATAGCCATCCCCAAGATCTGGGCTGTAGTGTTCGAACACGCCCTTGGTCATCGATGCTCGCTTCAAAACTCGTTATCTGATGATTGTCCGCGTAAAAAGTTCATTCAAGACGTCCAAGCGAACCAATGGACCTCAGGCCGCCATGCCTGGCGCCCTAGTCTAAAGCGAGGCTTTGAATTTCAAAGACGTAACGGTTTCCGTTAACTGGTAACCTCCTTGGTTCTAACCAGAAAACTAAAAGATAGGTTTAGTTAGGATTGAGAGGGTTTAGGCTGCCATCTTGAGCGGGTTTAGTTTATATTTGACCGTTGCATCACATAACCGTCAGTGCGAAGAGTCGTCATGGCTGCGGTGAGGCAAAGGAGCAAGTGTGAGGAGGAGAGGGAGACGGAGCAGGCGGATATGAGCATCGCAGACGTCAGTCTGATTGTTCTTGCAGGCTGAGCTGACTCCTTTGCTGGGAAACATGTGAGTGCTCCTCCCTTGGTCTGCTGTAGGTCTGACTTTTAATCAGAAACTCCACGAGGATTCGCTTTGCGATTCCTTTGATCCTTGTTGCTGTCTTGGCCCTTGTGGGAGTGCATTTCACTCGCAGTCAAAGGGGCTCCGTGCTCGCCTTCAAGAACCCGATTGGGAGCGGTGATGGGGTAATTGAAGTACTACAAAGTGATAAATCTCAACTTATGGATTTGCAGGTTGTTCCAGAGAAGGATTTGTCGTTTGTCAAATCGGAGGAGGTGAGCCGCTCCAGGCTTCTTCTTGGCTAATGCTACATATGCCAGGCTCACTTCGCAGCCTCGAAGCAGCTCGATGACGTTGCTGCTCGTTCCAACATGAACGACTTTTTTGACAGCATCGGTAAGGAATTCCTGATCGCTTCGTCTCTGCCTCGTCCTTTCTTTCCTCGTTACGATTGCATCAGGCAAGAAGCAACAAATGGAACACGTTCGAATTATGAACACTGCTTCTAGTGGCGACAAGTAAATTTTGTTAGGATATGCAAGTTGTGCATTTTGATGCGCTTTCAGCTCGTTGAACAACTATTTCGACAAGTTGGCGAACAAGTATCACTCCGAGCGACGGGTCTAGTGCTTTGACTCTGTTTGGGTCTTCTGAATTCTCTTTAGGCTCACTACTCCGCAAGACTTCATAACCATCCGGGAATGCTTCATCACGCCGAGGTTCAAGTGTTTACTCGGACCCCTTGAGTTTTTTGTGACGCTTGCGCAATAGATGGGTGGACACAGTGGTGACCTTACTGGCGCTGTGGACCACGTTAATCATCTGGCTCAAAACTCGTTGGTGATGATGCCAGGATCACCTTCTTCGAGTTTAACATATGGGAATTGCAGGATCAGCAGAGTCAGGCTAAAATCTTGGCTCAGCGTGCCCAGCGCAGGGCGGCCGAGGAGGCATCCAGAGAAGAAGGTCATGAGAAGAGGATGAGATACCTACAAGAGAAGAATCGCGATAAACAAGTGCAACGTGCAGTTCGCGATTTGTCCAAAGATTCCAATCACCAACCAGCTGCTCCTTCGATGAAGATGCGAATGATTCAGAATCTCAAGACTCAGAAGTATGTTGAAGCGCAAAGGGCAAGAGCCAATGCTGAGAAGGCTGATGAGGAGAAGAAAGAAAAGAATCAGCTCAAGAAGGTTGGAGATTGGATCAAGGCTCAGAACAATGCCGCGAAGAAGACTAAGCAAGAAGAAATCGAAAAGTTTGATGAGCAAAAGAATGACTTGAAGCAGTACCTCGACACTATCACCAAGAAACACAAGCAGGAGAAGGAAGCTGAGGAGGAAAAGCAATCTGAAATCACCTCGAAGGTACGGGCACTGAAGCGCCGCATGTCAGCAACAAAGAGATCAAACGAGGAGAAGCCATTTCAGATCAAGAAGGTTAACGGCAAGGTCGAGCTTGGTTTCTACATGGAGAGCATGTGCCCTGGCTGCAAGTACTACACGTCGACTGTGCTCAAGGATCTCATCACAAACACTGACTTCAACAAGCTGGTTGACTTTAAGCTCTACCCCTACGGCAATGGGCGCATCTCTGGAGACTCCATCCAGTGCCAGCATGGAGAACCGGAGTGTGAAGGAAACACTATCCTGGCCTGCATGCAGTCACTTTATCCTGTCACCGAAACAGACCCTGGCTTTGCACGAGCTTTTGTCTGCATGGAGGAGAGTGACAAGCTCCCTGCAGAGGAGGCGAAGAGATGCTCACAAGAGGGCAAGCTTGACTACGATAGAATCATGACATGCGCCCGAGGCGATGAGGGCAAGCGCCTGGCCATGGATGCGGCAAGAGCAACAGAGAATCTTAATCCTCCTCACGAGTATGCTCCTTGGGTTACGCTGGCTGGACAACCTCTGCGAGATTCCGCATACGACTTGCAGTCTGTTGTCTGCCAGTCATCGACTTTGTCACAAGGCAATCCGATCTGCTCGTCGTCAGCCCTCAAAATCTCATCGAGCCAAATTCTACGAGCAAGCTCTGAGACCAGATCTGTTTGTCGTCCAAATTAAGCGGTGCAGATGACAATGAGTAAATTGTCGTCTTCTTCTCCTTCCCGTGCACTATTGACCCATCCACTTGTCTTCATGTCGGGTGATTTCACAAGCAACATAATGACCTTTACCTTCATACCAACAAAAACTATATGACATGAAACGACGCTAAGCCAACGAACATGATTGAGAAGATGATACAGCCTGGGAGAAGAGTGACTTTTTGAATTAGAGTAGAAATACCTTACTAAGCCCTATGATTGCAATAAGACGAGTGGAGCATCGAAGTGACACCTATCAAGTTTCAGTCGGGGACTGTTCAACCCCATTGAATGATCCCTCACCTTTCTTCCCATCGTGGAGTAGAGAAATCCTCTTTCCTTTTCAGCGTCTATTAGGTCCTTGAGGCTGATTAGTGAGAACCCAGAAGAAGAAACGAGCACCTTGGTTGAAACCACTATCGGAACCCCCAGCAGCTTAGGCTCCTACAGGTTTAATTCAAATCCTGGAGAGCGTATTGATGATAATTTCTTGCCATGGACGTCGGACTACTGATTATCTCTCCCTGTTCTTCGGCGAACACTTGTCTATTCTGTAGTACCTGTCAGCTTCTGTTGCAGTTGTCCTCTTATACCTCAAGCTCCCAAGCTGCGACAGATGAACGAGCACTCTGACTTTGAAAAGATTTTTTGCTGAAATTGTGGTTCAAAACTGGCTGTCCTTGGTTGGATTCTGCAACTGATTCTTCTGGTTGGGATGCTTCATGCTGCCTCTTGTCCAGTTCAAGCTGCTTCATTGCAAGCGCAGCAGCCTACACAAAACCTTTGAAATCAGATTTAATCCTCAATCACATGACATGCCTCTTCCTCCAACTCCTTTCTCTTCTTCAAAACTTGATGAGCAAAAGTCAGAAGCTAGTAAATGACAATTGTGTATCTTTGCCTTCATCAAGCTCTTCTTTGGAAAAAGTTGATTGCTTCCTCGCAAACTCTTCTTCAAATCTGGGAAAGAGACTGTAAAGATCTTTGTGGACGGAAATAAACTCATACCTTTGTCGCTCCTGCTCATTTTTCTCTTGCCACTTGGTTAGTTGATCCCTCTCCTTTTTTTCCTGTATTCACAGCTAAGCTGTAGATTCTTTGGGTTTGGGGTAAATATGGGAATACATTTAAGGAGAGCAGACGGCCTTCTGCTTTTCGAAGAACTTCAGCCTGAAATTTGATTGTCAATAAGAATTCAAAGACATCAATATGCAAGCAGTGAAAAAGGATCTTCTCATTCCTTTTCGGAGATTCTTCCTGTCGGGGCATCATATTCATTTTTTCCAGTTTGTGACATGTAAAAATTTACCGCTTTGTCGAAACGCTTCCCTTGTTAACTTCAACTTTTCTCTATCAACAATTGTCAAAGTTTTGCTCGAATTAGTAGGAGGTCGGTCGAACCGTGCAAGAACAGTGTCCTCATCTTTCAAAGCTTTCTCAAAATCGGCATAGAGCGAAATTCCTTCTGCAAATTTCTCCTGTATCAGATTTGAATCTTCTGTCTGCTTTGCCGTAAGATTTCGTGAAGAGTCGTGTGATGATCCTGCATCAGCGAGAGACTTCCAAGAATGATTAAAGAGTGATGGACACTGAGAATAGGCTTCTACCATTTTTTGTGGTTCCTCATTCTTCTCTCCATTATCACCGGGAGCTACCTGACCTTGAAGCAATTGTCGGGCTTTGTGCACGATTGAGACTTGAAAGGAGTTTCACCTTTTTTCCGAATTCGCGCTAGCAAAGCGTTCTTTGCATCCATCGTCGCTCGTTGTAATGCAGTTTGTTTAGCGAGTGCATCTTTCGTCCTGATTGTGAGTTCAGTCATGTTGAATTGTTAACAAAGGTATCAAGGTACCTGAGCTCCTCTGAGGATCGTGGTCTGCAGCTTTCAATGTTGGGATCTCGAACTGATTGTGAGTTGCCGCCATTGCCAGGAGCTGCTGTATTCCACCATTGCGATGACTGCAATCAACTCTGATGAGAGAGACTAGGGGCGATCAGGGTTGACCTCAACTTTAACATCCAGATCGCGAATTTGCTGCAGCGCTAGCACTTGCTCCTGTTCTAGCAATTCAAATGAAACCACGAATCAAATGTATACCTCATCCGAAGGGCCACGGCTGAATGCAATTCTGATTCCAGCAGATTGAGTGAACCAAGAGACTAGAGAGAATGGATTTGGAAAAGCACCTTGCTTCAGCAAGTTTTTCTCGAGCCATCTCATACCTGCATCACGTTAAAAAAGAAAATTGACAATACATCATTTCATGCCGTTTTGCGTATACAAACTCCTCTGCTTGGGAAAGTGCGGATTTTCCATCGTTCCTGCACAGCTTTACACGATAAAAATGGAAGAGGAAAGTTGACCTTGCTGCCTTCACCTCTGCCTGCTCTATACTCCCCTCAAGAGCTCTCAGTTCGGGTTCTCTCCCCACCTTTGCTTTTTTCAGCACTGCACGAGCCCGCTGGATGCTGAGTCGTGCGTCTGCAAACCTGCATGGGAAAGAGGCTGAATTTTTATCAGAAAACTAAATCTTTTAGATACTTGTTCTTGGCCAAGAAATGTTTCGCTGCGTCAATGTTCCTCTGACCATCTGCTTCGAATGCAGCCTGATGACAAATTTAAGTCTCCAAGACCAGCAAAACCAGTTAAAAATGTATCACTCTTGCGTCTTCTTCCTTCTGCTCTCTCTGGATTTCTTCCGCCTTATCAAAACTAGACGTATTATATGTCAATGTCAACCGAAAGCAATGAAATCCACCAAACCTTTCAAGACCAGCAGCGTCTCTACTTTGATTTATCCACTCGTCCAACGATGAATTCAAAGAACCAGAACCAGTAATTGATGATCTTCGACGACCATGCAAAGGATTCTCGGACATGTCAACTCAGTCTATTTGGATCCGTGCATAAGAAATTCTTGGTCATGATTGCATATTTTGAAGGTAGAGTCTCGTCTGGCAATGCTGGATCAGTCACTTCTCCGGTCCAATCTTCAAAAATCTTATCCACCGACCTTCTTTGAATCAAAAACATCGATTTCGGTTATTCTCAGTAATATATTTTTGAAATGAATTTCGTTCCGACAAATTGTACGTTATTTCTAGCTCTATCAGGAGTGATACTATCATGCCATCCTCTGTTCTCTCTTCACTTAAGTTCCTGTCTTTCCGTTACCCCCGCCTCTCCATCCTCTTGCAGCATGATTTTATCTTTGTTCGTCGGCACTGTTCATCTCCTCAAATCGTCAGTCAACACTAATAATAGAGAGTTGCAATTGACTGACTCGATCGAATGAGGGTAGGGTTGTGAGGACTTCTTATCTGGGGGGGGGGGGGGGGGGGGGGGGGTTCATAGGTAAAGAAGATGGTAGAGGTACTTGAAGGGTCAGGGGGGTGGAGAATGGAAGCCTGCCAGTGCATTATATATGAGCGGGTAGGGTCATTTGTTTGTTCCTTGTCCTGGTCAATGTCTTGATGAGTTGAAGGAGAATTGGGTGGTAGGGTGATATAGGGAGTGGATAGACAGACAGGGGAGGGGGGAGGGGTATGTACCTTGGCGTTGCCAGGCCCGGCGGAGCGTGATTGACCCCCAGGCTCTCATTCCAACGAGTCTCTTCTAGATCAAATTCACTGTCAGTGCTCGCGGGCTGGTGGCAACAAGGTGACCGGCCGACAGACAAGGCCCGGGTCTGTATGAACCATTTGTGTCAAGTTCCGACTCTCGAGAGCATCCGTTGCACAGTGAGTGTCACTGTGGTGGTTGTGCGTAGTTTACTGATAGGATATGTTTGCTGACCCCCGGAAGCCGCCAGGGCGCGAAGGAAGCTGCGAGCAAGAGGTTCGTATAGTACAAACAGCTTTCTAAGCCTGAATGGTTCGCAACATGCTGTATCGGAGATCATGCCAATACACGCTTAAGGGCGAGCTTGTGGATGCCTCTGTCCTCGAAGCTGACCTGGTCGAGAGGGTAAAGAGCTTCGCGAAGCGTTTTCCTATGTCAACCGTTGAACCATGAAGAGAGATAGGACTGATCGTAGACTCACTGAGTCAGTCACTGAGTCTACTTACTCTCTTGCACTGAGTGCAAGAGAGTAAAGCGATCATGTGGAAGGCTCCGTATGATAGACCCGAGTCACTGAGTGCTGATGAGATCCCGGTGACTGTTTCCTTCCTCCGCAATCATTGCACAAGCGGAGAAGCTCTGGCAGGGAAGAGAGGACTTCGCGATGCTCACATGTACAGCTGTGAACTTGCGACCATCGATCGTGACGAAACCTTTCTGGCCCAGCGACCAGCATGCCTCAGCCAGCGGCTGGAGCTGTACCGCTGCCAGGGACTGGCGGTACATGCCAGTGAGCATTTAGAACGCGTGACAAACTCGCCCGGCAGAAAAAAGCAAATTTTGTGAATTTGCTGTTTTCGATCGCACAAAAAACAATGAATATAGCTCTGATGATCCAGTTTTCACTATCTGAAGTTCGATTAAGTACCTATGATTCAATTCTAGTCCTTCATACAACCGTTTCACACAGCGCGACATGGCTGCAAGCACTTTCATAGCGATTTCCCAGATTTTGTCATCTTCAAGTTGTCTTATCTCAGCAATGGATGGGTCTCTTCTTGTGCGGTTTTCATCAACGGAACGTGCCCGTCCTCCTCTTTCGTATCATAGTATGCCGCCACCATTTTCGCGCCCTCTCCGTTTCAAGTTCGGAAGATGCTGTATGAGGGTCTTCAAATCGGGGCCTTTCGGGCCCTCAAGGGGCCCTGTGTCCCCGAAAGATAAAAATTTGCGAGCGAGCGATGGTGTATGTGTAAATGGGTGGATGCGAGAGGGAAGGAGGGAGAGCGAGCGAGCGAGTGAGAGAAAAACTGAGAGACGGAGACAGAGACAGACACAGAGACAGAGACAGAGACAGAGACAGAGACAGAGACAGAGACAGAGGCAGAGGCAGAGGCAGAGGCAGAGGCAGAGGCAGAGGCAGAGGCAGAGGCAGAGGCAGAGGCAGAGGCAGAGGCAGAGGCAGAGGCAGAGGCAGAGGCAGAGGCAGAGGCAGAGGCAGAGGCAGAGGCAGAGGCAGAGGCAGAGGCAGAGGCAGAGGCAGAGGCAGAGGCAGAGGCAGAGGCAGAGGCAGAGGCAGAGGCAGAGGCAGAGGCAGAGGCAGAGGCAGAGGCAGAGGCAGAGGCAGAGGCAGAGGCAGAGGCAGAGGCAGAGGCAGAGGCAGAGGCAGAGGCAGATGGGAATACAGGCAACCTCCACGTCAAACAAGCCTTCTTGTCAAGCCTAAGTTTGCTCTTTGCCAGCAGGGGGGAAAGTGCGTCTTGGGTGCCATGTCGCTCGTGTCGCCTCTTGGATTCCTTTGGTTGAGCTCAATTATCATTTCGAGCTCAGAGGTAGGCATAATCCTCAGTGCTAGATAAAAGCTTTTTGAACTTGTGTTGTTACTGCAGGGATTGTGTTGCCTTCAGTGGACTCGGTTCCATCGCGAGCAGAGTGCTGTTTGTCAGCGCTCTTGTCTTGGGATACGGGGAGGAAATGATGGCGGAGATGAGAAGAACGCTTCTGTTCAAGAGGGAGCTCCACACATGTTGAGTGTCTATGACATAGCCATTGACGCTGCAGATAAGAATTGCAAAAAATCAAGAAAACAATTCACAAATGCCGTCATGCAGGGGAGCTCCAACATTCTTGATCTCGAGATTCTGACAAAGCAGGACGAAGGGATCGAGGGGGTGCAATCAGAAATCGAGGGAGAACAACAAGAGATGAAAATTGAAGAGATCGGAGATGTACAACAAGAGATCAAAGGTGTACAACAAGAGATCAAAGGTGTACAAGGAAAGATCGAAGGTGTACAACAAGAGATCACAGATGTGTTGAGAAGGATGCAAGATCAAAATGACCAAATGCTGAAGGAGGTCCACATGCAGCTTGTGCAGCAGCTTGTAGCGTACCAGCAGCAGCTTGTAGAGGACAAGAAGCAGCTTGTAGCGTACCAGCAGCACCTTATAGACAGGGAGAAGCTGCTCTTGGACAAGGATAAGCAGGTTGAGAGGCTTATTCCACGTCCTGTGCAACTTAGAGACAGTGTGTCAAGACCTGAAGGTGAAACAGAATTGAATGTGGCTATCATGGGTACTAACAGGACTTATGCTAGTTGGCATGCTAAGTTTCTTGAAAGAGCTCTGGACTACCGCATGCGCAGGAAAGGTTTTACGGGCTAATGAATACGTCAGCTTCTCCGCATGCTTAGGAGGCCACGAGACACTTGGAAACAAGCTCTTCATACGAGAGTGCTACTTGGAGATGAGGCGGAAAATTGCAGAGGATTTCAAGTTGGACCCAGAGACGCTAGAGGGCATGGACACCAATCAAGGATGCCATCAAGTGATCCTCACAGGTACTCCAGGGATCGGGAAGTCCTGCTTCGCATACTTCTTACTTCTTCAGCTCCTCCGGCCTGGTGAGGAAGTAGTGTATCAGATAGGGAGTGAATATTGGTACTTTGATGGAGAAGCATGGAACCTGTTCATGGATGGATCCGTAGCGCAACGCTTTCTCCAAATGTTTAGGCGCTGGTATATCTGTGATCTGTACAAAAACCAGGGGAGCTATTCAATGTCACGAACCGCCAAAACAATCATAATCTCTTCACCGAAGTATGGGATGTTCAAGGACATTGTGAATACTGGATCGGCGAAGAGATATTTCTTGCCGTTGTGGTCAGACGATGAGATGTCACTCTTCATCATGATGCAATGGGGGCGTATTGACTCCGATGAAGTGATGAAGATCGTAGAGGATTGGGGCAATGTGCCGAGAAATATCGTCGTGAAACCTTTAGAGACACTTGAGCAGGCTGTTGAAGGAATAGAATCAGTGTCATCACTCAAGAGGAAGATGGATGCAGCAGTGAATGAAGACCTTGGAATGCCATCGAAACTGATTCACCTTTCCCCCAGCACTGACTACAGATCCTTTACCGCTCGAATATGCTCGAAGAAGGCCGAGACGATGATATTTGAGGCCCTTGTGAAAAGGGATTGGGATCATGTTGTCGACTTGGCTTTTTCGAGTCCTAATTCTGGCTATGAGTCAGCAGCAGGTGTAGCTTTTGAACACATTGCGCATGAGGTGCTGAAGGGAGGAGGAAAATACAATCTGCGAAGGCTGGAGAAGGATAAGGGCGATAGAAACGGGTTAAAGAAGCTGAAGTTGAAGAGATCGCAACCGTACATTGAATTTGCATCATCAATCAGAGACTTGGAGGAGTGGGTGATCATGCCGAATGCATACTGTAAGCCAAAGGCATTAAACTTCGCTTGCATGGATGGGATGTCATTGTCTGCCAGCGGGGTTCTCTACATGTTCCAGATAACACGAGCGGGGAAACATCCTATCAAAGTGGACTCATTGCTCAGCATCTTGAAAGCTCTGCAAGCCAAGAACAAGTTTGAGAGGGTAAACTTTTTGTTCGTTGTACCTTCAGGGCATGAGGAAATGCCCTGCTGGGGACGAGATCAAGGCTTGACATCTCAGGGAGTGAAGGCAAACCAGGAGCAGGAGAGTCAAATGAGGGGAGTAACTCAGTATATCATGATGCTTTCGAAGGAGGATGCGATGCGGAGGCCAAGGGGATGGATGAGTTTCGCTCCGCAGCATACGTAGTCAATCGTAAGAGCAGCGCCAAGGGAGTAGTTGGAACCTGGGAGGACGCGACAGAAGAAGAGAAGTTTTTGCACGTAGACAGTCGCCTTGCAAGATTGTGCTTCAAAGACTTTAGAATCGTCAGAATTCCTGTTTTGCACATGTAGGCGATCATTTCGAAATATACAAAGTTGCCAGTGCCCAGCAATCTTTGCGTTTTGAGATGAGGACATTCGTCACGACGTGGCGCCTTCCTCAGTGAAATGACTAGACGCTATCCGATAGACTCTTCCACTGACAAACCGTGCTGGCAATACGCAGAAGGAAGTTTGTTTTGCAATGATGGTGTGAGTTGCTGCCGTGACCTGCTTTCAACTCACGTCACTGATTACTCTATGAGCAGGATGTTCAGTTCAACATTTACATGCGGCGAGATAATATCCGACCTCTTGAACATCTGGTGGATCCACACCATTTCAAACCTCGTACCTCAGTTGCCACTGCTTCAAAGCCCCGCCGTTTCTCTTCGATTTGCATCGATAACAATTCTTTGTCGCCCCATACTTGTCAATGTCCACAACCTTGTAGTATTCCATGTGCTAATACAGGTTCACTTCGGTACAGGCTGCCTCAAGAGCGAAGTAAGGCAATGGCACCCTCAGACTGTCGTGTATTCGTGCTTCAAAGATAGGAGCCGCCTACGGCGAATAGGGCGCCCACCTCGTGAGCCTTGGAGGATTTGGACAACTCAAGCACCTCGCGTCATTCCTCTGGGTGCTGATATTGACCCACTTGGAGACGCCAGATCATGGAAAGCTTCCCTGTACTGATCACCCTCCCACGATTCCCTGCCCGGCGGCGCCTCAAAGGTCTGCTCTCCTTCTCCGGTGCAGCTGGTTTGTCACATTTGCCGCAATGGTTTACCTCGCCTGCCTGGGTCACCACAGACGCACAGACGTGATGGAAGAGCTGCTTGCGCTTGCACAACTTGCATGTTTTCAGTTCTGAGTTTGGTTGGTTGGACATGATACACGCCGATGCAAACTTGAAACAAGCAAGACTGGATCATTCGTGTAAAGTGTGGCTGCTTCGAGAAGATGATCGCTGAATCTATCCCAGAGAATGTCTTTTTTTGAATTTTTTCAGGCTCACGACACTTTCTGCTAAGGATTTCTCACATTCTCTTAAAAGTTTTCGCAGCACAACAGAGTGAAAATATTTTACACAGCATAACAGTGAAAAATCCTGATGAGAAAAGAAGGGGCAAATGTATATAAGAAAAAGACACTCAACCCTTATTGAAATGAAGTGTGCGAGGCTGAAAGGTGTTTTAGCAAGCTGCAGGATATACTTCTTTATTGACTGAGTGAAAAAGAAACTTGCAAACCGGAGCAAACAAGAAGTGGACGAGAATAAAGCCTACAAACCCGCCTCAATAAAAGTGACTAGGAAACGTAGGAGGCAGCGAAAACCGCTACTCCAAGCACGCAAGCGACAGCATGCACGACAAGCAGGGGAACAAGGATCAGGACAAAGAGAGTAGCGCTAGCATACACCGCCTCCTCTTTCAGTGATTTTTTTTTTTAATGATAATTTGTCCACTGATGATTTCAAGCCTTGAGTTTGATGAGAGTCGCAGGGGAAGTGCTGCTAGAATTATTTACTCAGGTCATAGGGTAGGTACTCGATTGAAATAAAGTCTTTTCATGTCCCGAACGTGCAGCCCCCGTACGTCCCCCGGACCCAACTTGGCAAGAAACAAAAGCGAGAAATTTAATGTTTCAATAGAAACAGAAAGACGATCAATATTGTTTATTGCTTCTGCGGCTGCGATGCAAAAACGTTTACTGCCATTTTATGCTTTCAAAATTGAGGCTAGGGTAAAAACTTATATAAAAAGTAAGGGGCATAGATACGGTTTGAACAGTAGGGGTGTTGGCAGCAGGACCCGAGTCTTGACTCAGGGTAGGTGGGGTAGTGACT